AAGCTCGGGGCGAAAAAACTGGCGCCTGCAGTCAAGTGCGTAGGGCAAAAACCAGCCGCCTGCAGCCCAGAACTCCGGGATTAATCTGTCCGCGGTCGGCACACACACTGTACTCACATGCCAGGAGACTTGGGAAAAGCAACGGGACAACGCGGCACCGCCAATCGAGGCAGGGACACGCACGGCACCGCCAGACCTCTGCGTGCGGCAGCAGACCACAAGGAACGAGCCGCACATAAACCCGCGGAGGGCCCCGCGGAGCAGCCCGCAGAAAGAGCCCGCAGAGGAGGAAAGCAGTGGGGATATGCGAACCACAGCAGTGCAGGGACGTGGAAGAGGAGCAGACCAGTGCAGGGACGCGGAGGAGGAGCAGACCAGTGCAGGGACGCGGAGGAGGAGCAGACCACAAGCAGCCAGACGGAGGACGCCAGGGACGCGCCGAGTAGCGTGAGTAGACGAAAACGATTCCTCCAGACGATTCTCTGCAAGGCTTCAGGAGCTTGCGAGGCTTCGAGAAGGCAGAGAGTGGGAGTTGCTCCGCTTTTAAGCGGCTGCCTGTCCGGCACGGATGATTGGAAGGGGGCGTTTGCCGAGCGATAGGCTGGGGAAGCGAACCGGCCTGGAGGGGGTAGCTTTTGGCTGACGTCTACCAAATTGAATTTTCGCGAGCTACATAAGTACCAGTGATAACACCAGTAATTATATAGTAAGTACCAGGTACTTACCATAGGAACTGGCCCATAATAAGACAAAGGACTTACCCATAAGTACTAGTGATACCAGTAATTATATAGTATACCATGTACTTACCAGCAAGTACCATGTACTTACCAGCAAGTACCAGGTACTTACCAGCAAGTACCAGGTACTTACCAGCCAAGTACCAGTTACTTACCAGCAAGTACCAGGTACTTACCAGCAAGTACCAGGTACTTACCAGCCAAGTACCAGGTACTTACCAGCAAGTACCAGGTACTTAACAGCAAGTACCAGGTACTTACCAGCAAGTACCAGGTACTTACCAGCAAGTACCAGGTACTTACCAGCAAGTACCAGGTACTTAACAGCAAGTACCAGGTACTTACCATAGGGACTGGCCCATAATAAGACAAAGGACTTTAACATAAGTACCAGTGATAACACCAGTAATTATACAGTAAGTACCAGGTACTTACCATAGGGACTGGCCCATAATAAGACAAAGGACTTTAACATAAGTACCAGTGATAACACCAGTAATTATATAGTAAGTACCAGGTACTTACCATAGGAACTGGCCCATAATAAGACAAAGGACTTACCCATAAGTACTAGTGATACCAGTAATTATATAGTATACCATGTACTTACCAGCAAGTACCTGGTACTTGCTGTTAAGTACCTGGTACTTGCTGGTAAGTACCTGGTACTTGCTGGTAAGTACCTGGTACTTGCTGGTAAGTACCTGGTACTTGCTGGTAAGTACATGGTATACTATATAATTACTGGTATCACTAGTACTTATGGGTAAGTCCTTTGTCTTATTATGGGCCAGTTCCTATGGTAAGTACCTGGTACTTACTATATAATTACTGGTGTTATCACTGGTACTTATGTTAAAGTCCTTTGTCTTATTATGGGCCAGTCCCTATGGTAAGTACCTGGTACTTACTGTATAATTACTGGTGTTATCACTGGTACTTATGTTAAAGTCCTTTGTCTTATTATGGGCCAGTCCCTATGGTAAGTACCTGGTACTTGCTGGTAAGTACATGGTACTTGCTGGTAAGTACATGGTATACTATATAATTACTGGTATCACTAGTACTTATGGGTAAGTCCTTTGTCTTATTATGGGCCAGTTCCTATGGTAAGTACCTGGTACTTACTATATAATTACTGGTGTTATCACTGGTACTTATGTTAAAGTCCTTTGTCTTATTATGGGCCAGTCCCTATGGTAAGTACCTGGTACTTACTGTATAATTACTGGTGTTATCACTGGTACTTATGTTAAAGTCCTTTGTCTTATTATGGGCCAGTCCCTATGGTAAGTACCTGGTACTTGCTGTTAAGTACCTGGTACTTGCTGTTAAGTACCTGGTACTTGCTGGTAAGTACCTGGTACTTGGCTGGTAAGTACCTGGTAATGTGTAATTCTTGTTACTTGGGTTGGGTACCTAGTTCTTGCAGTGTTTCCCTTGTCCTTGAAACTTGTTTTGAAATATGCATTAAATGTATTTATACTGTCCTTTCTGTGCTACTTATTCCATATTAATAAAGACGTTTGTTTTACATAATGTTGTTTTATGTTTTATAGTCAAACAATCCTACAAATGACCTCTGTATGTATGTATGTAGAAGTACCACATTTACTACATAGGAATAATACTGTAGTGTCCTTGAATTACTAAGTTACAGCTGTATCTAGAATTATCACAATAAGTACCTAGAAGTACCACTGTAAGTACCACAATAAGTACCTCTAAGTACCACTGTAAGTACCACAATAAGTACCTAGAAGTACCACTAGAAGTACCACTGTAAGTACCTAGAAGTACCACTGTAAGTACCACTGTAAGTACCACTGTAAGTACCACTGTAAGTACCACTGTAAGTACCACCGTAAGTACCACCGTAAGTACCACCGTAAGTACCCCTGTAAGTACCACCGTAAGTACCACCGTAAGTACCACCGTAAGTACCACTGTAAGTACCACTGTAAGTACCACCGTAAGTACCACCGTAAGTACCACCGTAAGTACCACCGTAAGTACCACCGTAAGTACCACCGTAAGTACCACCGTAAGTACCACCGTAAGTACCACCGTAAGTACCTAGAAGTACCACCGTAAGTACCTAGAAGTACCACTGTAAGTACCTAGAAGTACCACTGTAAGTACCACTGTAAGTACCACTGTAAGTACCACCGTAAGTACCACCGTAAGTACCACCGTAAGTACCACCGTAAGTACCACCGTAAGTACCACCGTAAGTACCACTGTAAGTACCTAGAAGTACCACTGTAAGTACCTAGAAGTACCACTGTAAGTACCATGGACTTACCGGCCCGTAATGTAAAGTGTTACCTTCCTTTGTTGTTGTTTTAGAACATACTGTGACGTGCAAAAACGCAAAACTCTGGTTTTCTCTGTCTACACTCAAATGCAAAAACAGAGTTTTCAAAATCTTCACTTTGCCCGGAGTTTTTTTATGTATTGGTTTATGATGCGTTGTCATGGAGATGACAGGTGCAAACAGAGATAGATATCTGCAGTTTAGCAGAGACCCGGCTACAGGGCCTACGTTTAAGTTTCTCTTCCTGTTTACAAATTTAAAAACACCTCGAAGAAGATGCTATACATTAGCATTGAATAATTCTCATTCCGGGTCCACCCCCACAGGCCCGGGGTGGTATTGCAGCATGTTACCACCAGTATTAAGGACATGTTTGAGCCGAGACCACCCACACCGGTTTGAACTGTGAAAACTGAACATAGAAGAGTCACTTGTTTCTGACCATTTTAAACATTATTTCTCTCCACAGAATCTCGTCTCCCAAAGATTTAAGACGTCCTCTGTCTTTCCTCTCGGTGCTCTCTGCAGACGGAGGGTTTCTTTGAGTCTCGCTGCAAAGAAACAGAAACAGGAACAAGTCCTACTATATATACTTAAATATACTCAGACTTAAACGGAGAGTTGGACTATTCTCCTTTTCTTTAAGACTGTAATCTTTGAGACCACTGAATATATGTTTTGTACATTGTAATACATACAACATTGTAGTACATAATATTTTGCACTTTTTGGTATTTTCGATATTTTCTCCAGTTTTTAACCTTGTGACTTTAGCCCCGCCCACTGACCATGTGACCAGTCTGTAAAGGCTTTTGAAGAGTTTTGCATCTCTTGAGTGCTTCTTTCTTCTGTCTGGATTCTCAGCGTCGGTCCCTCGTCTGAAGAGCACCATGAGCTTTACTTTTTTCATGATTTCATTTTAAATCCAGGACGCTCTCGACGCTCTCGACGCTCTCCAGCCTCGTCCACTGTTTTCAAAAAGGTCTCAGTGTTTTCTCAGCAGCGTCTGAAGCTCATTCATCACTGAGCGGTTTGTTTTGGTTCTAGCTCTGGTTTCACACACACACACACACACACACACACACACACAGACACACACACACACACACAGAGACACACACAGACACACACACACACACAGACACACACACACAGACACACATACACACACAGACACACACAGACACACACACAGACAGACACACACACACAGACGCACACAGACACACACACACACACACAAACACACAAAAATACACACACATGTCATACACAATGCTAGTCATTATGTTTATGAAATTATCCCGATCCGAGACTGGTCCTGGACTTAGACAGACCCTGGACTGGGCCTGGTCCTAGACAGACCCTGGACTGGTTCTAGACTGGTCCTTAACCGGTTCTAGACCGGTTCAGAGCAATCTCAGCCGAGCTAGTTACCATAGCAACACACTGTTTACTTGCCTCAGTCAGTATTTAGTTTTGCTCTACATCCTTTTAACACGCGTCAAAGATAAAAACCTATGAACTTTAACAGTGGTGAAAATATACAATGTTTTTTTAGGGGATTTTCCCAGAATTCCACTCATTTGAATGAGACCCGTCAAAAGGACTGCTCTGAGTCTGAGTGTTGACAAAGTGACTCTCGGAGGCTGCGTCCCTGGTTCACTGCGCCCCCTGGTGGACAGTGACTCAGTTCAACACAGAAACAGAAATATTCAGAGAATTTAAACACATGAAAAGTGTGAAAACATTTTGATTAAACCACAAAATAAATGTAGAAACATAATGTGAAGTTTTATATAGTTTTATTTAACATTTGATATTAACCAAAACAAATCCAGTTTGTAATTTCAAGCTTTTGTACCATTTGTTCAGTTTTGACTAAAATAACAGATAAAGTATAATAAATAACAAATATATTTACATGTTTAAATATTCTGCAAATGGACAAAGTCTGATCAAACTTTTTCTTTATTTCCTTTTTCCAAACGAGACTTCTGTGTTTTTAAAAAAAAAAACAGGTTAATTTGACTTTGACTTTTTGCCAAATTTCGATTTATTTTCCATCTGTTTTTGTATCGTAAGAAAAGCGACGCAGGGAGAAAGTCAGACCCTCACCCTGAGACCCTCACCCTCAGAGCCTCACCTTCAAACCCTCACTCTCAGATCCTCACCCTGAGATCTTCACCCTCAGACCCTCACCCTCAGACCCTCACCCTGAGACCCTCACCCTCAGACCCTCACCCTCAGACCCTCACCCTGAGACCCTCACCTTGAGACCTTCACCCTCAGACCCTCACCCTGAGACCCTCACCTTCAAACCTTCACCCTCAGACCCTCACCCTGAGACCCTCAACCTCAGACCCTCACCCTCAGACCCTCACCTTCAGACCCTCCCCCTCAGACCCTCACCCTGAGACCCTCACCTTCAAACCATTACCCTGAGACCCTCACCCTCAGACCCTCACCTTCAGACCCTCACCTTCAGACCCTCACTCTCAGATACTCCCCCTCCCCCTCAGACCCTCACCCTGAGACCCTCACCCTCAGACCCTCACCCTCCCCCTCAGACCCTCATCCTCAGACCCTCACCCTCAGACCCTCACCTTCAAACCCTCACCCTCAAACCTTCACCTTGAGACCCTCACCTTCAGACCCTCACCCTCAGACTCTCACCCTCAGACTCTCACCCTTCAGACACTCCCCTCCCCCCCCCTCAGACACATCCCCCTCCCCCTCATGGACCCTCTCCCCCTCAGACCCACACCTTCAGAGCCTCACCCTCAGACCCTCACCCTTTGACCCTCACCTTCAGACCCTCACCCTCAGACCCTCACCCTCAGACCCTCACCCTCAGACACTGAGCACAGAACGTCTCCTTTAAGTCTGTTTTTCCTTTTCTCAGATGAATGTTTGTGTCGTTCTAACTCTGGCTCCAATCATGAGGTTTGTTTTCACAGTCTGCTCCCTCATTTATTACCTCCCCCTCTCACTCCCACCCTCACCCCCTAACTCCCTCACCCCCCACCCACTGGCACAGACACCCGCCCCTTCTGTCTGAAGTCTCTCCTTCTAAACTTGTTACAGACAGGACTCTGCTTTTCATCAATAATCGTTTGAAACAACAGAAAGATTCAAAGTTAGAGGTTAATGTTAAAGATGAAGTTAAAGATGAGGTCTTTGTCTGGTCCCACAGTGAGGAAAGTTCAGTGTTGCATCATCAGTGACAGTAGAATGAGGAGCACGTGAACATGAACAAAAACTATATAAATAAACATCTGAACTGTAGTAAAGTGATTGTGATGTATCTTCTGCAAACTTCATCTTTCGTTTGTAAAAGTTGATCTGAAGAATCACAGAATCACGTGCATCAGCTTTAACAAAGGAAAGTTTATATGTATAGCACAGTTTATACACAAACTCTAAGTGCTGAAACAAGAAAATACAAATCATAAATAATTACACTACATTATAAAGAGTAATGAGCCTCTACATGTTTGGTCCTGACTCTGGGACCAGCAGGAGGCCAGTCCCTGTGCTCCTCAGAGTCCCAGCAGGAGGCCAGTCCCTGTGCTCCTCAGAGTCCCAGCAGGAGGCCAGTCCCTGTGCTCCTCAGAGTCCCAGCAGGAGACCAGTCCCTGTGCTCCTCAGAGTCCCAGCAGGAGGCCAGTCCCTGTGCTCCTCAGAGTCCCAGCAGGAGGCCAGTCCCTGTGCTCCTCAGAGTCCCAGCAGGAGGCCAGTCCCTGTGCTCCTCAGAGTCCCAGCAGGAGGCCAGTCCCTGTGCTCCTCAGAGTCCCAGCAGGAGGCCAGTCCCTGTACTCCTCAGAGCCCCAGCAGGAGGCCAGTCCCTGTGCTCCTCAGAGTCCCAGCAGGAGGCCAGTCCCTGTGCTCCTCAGAGTCCCAGCAGGAGGCCAGTCCCTGTGCTCCTCAGAGTCCCAGCAGGAGGCCAGTCCCTGTGCTCCTCAGAGTCTCAGCAGGAGGCCAGTCCCTGTGCTCCTCAGAGTCCAACTTTAAATGATGTCACGCTTCGTATTTTCTGGTTAAAATCATTCATGAATGTGACGTGTGGCATATTTACATATCTGACACTTTCCTTCATTTGTCGCCCGTCAAGATCCTTATGTCTGGGACTGAGAGACCACGGGAGGTCCAGGGCTGGGACTGGGAGACCACGGGAGGTCCAGGGCTGGGACTGGGAGACCACGGGAGGTCCGGGGCTGGGACTGGGAGACCACGGGAGGTCCAGGGCTGGGACTGGGAGACCACGGGAGGTCCAGGGCTGGAGGAGCGTGAGGTTGGGACTCAGCTCGTGTTATTGGATCTAAACCAGAGCTAATCAAACAGAACGAGATGTAACGAGGTTAGAGTCCGACACACTCTGCTCCTGTCAATCACTCTGCCTCTGAGGTGAGGGGAGGGGGGAGGAGGGGGGGAGAGAGGTGAGGAGAGGAGAGGGGAGGGGGGAGGAGAGGGGGAGAGAGAGATGAGGAGAGGAGAAGGGAGGGGAGGGGAGGGGGGAGGAGGTGAGGACAGGAGGGGGGAGAGGTGAGGAGAGGGGGAGAGAGAGATGAGGAGAGGAGAGGGGAGGGGAGGGGGGAGGTGAGGACAGGAGGGGGGAGAGGTGAGGAGAGGGGGAGAGAGAGATGAGGAGAGGAGAGGGGAGGGGAGGGGAGAGGTGAGTATAGGAAGGAAATGGGAGAGGTATAGGGGAGGGGGGGGGAGAGGTGAGGAGAGAGGTGGGGGAGGAGTCTAGATACCTGTGTGTACCAATATATACAGCCTACATTTATAACATTACTTTTGTGGTGAATGTATTAAGTACAATGTAGTATTTGGTCTTTAAAGCGATTTTCACTACTGCTCTTAGTACTACTACTACTACTACCACTACTACTACCATAACTACTACTACTATTACTACTACTGCTAATACTGCTACTTCTGCTTCTACTTCTCCCTCGCTCTGATGTCTTGAATCACATTGGTCCATTTTTTACATTCAGTCTTAACTTTCCGCCCACACTCTCTCTCCTCTGCCCGCTCCACCACCCTGGCCCCGCCCCTGACTCCGCCCCCTGTGCCTCGCTCTCTCCCCCTGCTCCCGCCTCCTTCGCTCGCCCTCTTACATCACACGCACATCGACCAATCAGAGGCAGCGAACAATCCATCACTGTCAGAGCCGTGAGCACAAAGTTAGAGGAGGACGGACAGCTCTGACCAGTGGCTGTCGGTGGAAAATGTGAAATGTGGAGTATTTCTGCATAAAACTGCCTCCACATGGACTAGAGGCCACACACGGTACTGCAGCTTTGTATGTCTCCTTTAACCAGGACAGTCCCCCTGGGATTAAGAACCTCTTTAAAGGGAGTCCTGGACAAAGCTTCAATCCACATGAACTAAAAGGAGAGTTTCTTTAGACTTTAATGTTAATAAAACGGCTCGTCCTCAGAGTGAGAACCTACAGCCTTCACTGAGCTCTGGTTTTGGTAAGAGAAGTTATTTGTATAGCACAGTTCATAAGGAAACTCAATGTGCTGAACAAATTAATATGGAAACAATCACACAAGGCATTAACGTCAGAAATAATCACAATCAAAAAGAGTGAAGATGAACTGTTTTTTACCTGGATTTGAACATTGTCAGAGAAGAAGCCTGTCTCGCATTTTCAAGAAGACTGTTCCAGATTTCAGCTGCATGAATCTGAAGCTGCCTCCTGTAGATGTGACCATTCGTTGTGATTTCAGTGTTTCTTGTCATTCTGAACTTTTGTTTCTTTATAAATCCATCGGTTTTCTATAAATCCTCACTTTTGTGCAACAGCCTCGGCTCGCTCTGATTGGTCAGAATGCTCCAGTACGAGAGAGCCCCGTCCTCCACAGTCAGCGACATTAACTGCTACTCACCAGCAGAGGGCGACAATAACTGCTACTCACCAGCAGAGGGCGACAATAACTGCTACTCACCAGCAGAGGGCGACAATAACTACTACTCACCAGCAGAGGGCGACAATAACTACTACTCACCAGCAGAGGGCGACAATAACTGCTACTCACCAGCAGAGGGCGACAATAACTGCTACTCACCAGCAGAGGGCGACAATAACTGCTACTCACCAGCAGAGGGCGACAATAACTACTACTCACCAGCAGAGGGCGACAATAACTGCTACTCACCAGCAGAGGGCGACAATAGCTGCTACTCACCAGCAGAGGGCGACAATAACTACTACTCACCAGCAGAGGGCGACAAACTGGAAATGCTGTGAAACAAAGGTTTATTTTAAGGTCTAAAGCAGGACTAAAGCAGGTCTAAAGCAGGACTAAAGCAGGTCTAAAGCAGGACTAAAGCAGGACTAAAGCAGGACTAAAGCAGGTCTAAAGCAGGACTAAAGCAGGTCTAAAGCAGGACTAAAGCAGGACTAAAGCAGGACTAAAGCAGGACTAAAGCAGGTCTAAAGCAGGACTAAAGCAGGTCTAAAGCAGGACTAAAGCAGGACTAAAGCAGGACTAAAGCAGGTCTATAGCAGGACTAAAGCAGGTCTAAAGCAGGACTAAAGCAGGACTAAAGCAGGTCTAAAGCAGGACTGAAGCAGGTCTAAAGCAGGACTAAAGCAGGACTAAAGCAGGTCTAAAGCAGGTCTAAAACAGGACTAAAGCAGGACTGACGCAGGTCTAAAGCAGGTTAGGGTTAGGGACTTGGATGAGGCGGTGGTTTCTCCTTACAGTCTCCGTTTTGTAATCAGACTGTAGTTGTAATACGCGCCTGCAGCAGCAGAGGGCGCTGCTCCCGAGAGAACCACAGTCTGCGACATCAACTCCATGAAGATCACTTTAGAACTGGACAAAAAGTCATTCCAGTGATCCGAGATACAAGATTCAAGTGTGTGCAGACCCACCACAAGATTTACTGCTACTGCTGCTGCTGCTGCTACTACTGCTACAGCTACTGCTACTGCTACTGCTGCTACTACTGTTGACTTCTATCTTATGTTTTTAGTCTGTAGCTCATGGAAACCAGGGAGAAAGCTGTGCCTCACAGTTGCCTCTTGCATGATTTTGTTGCTGGAGAATCCCACCTCACTTCCCTGCATACAGGTGCATTTATACAGAGAGAGAGAGAGAGGAGGGAGAGACCCAAGGAGAGGAAAGAGGGGGAGACCCGAGGAGAGGGCCCAGAGGGAGGAAAGAAACCCAGAGGAGGAGAGGGTTCAGGTACTGACTCTGGAGATCTAAAAAAGGGCCTCACCTGCTGAAACATCTCTCTGTGACTGTGGGCTTATGGGTAAATGCTGCAGTGCTTCTAAAACATGATCCATGTTTCCTTTGTCTGATTTGAAGTTGTTTAACTGTTTTAGGCTTTAATGTCTTCTCTGATTTGTTTTATCTATTGTTTCTGATGTCTTTATTTTTTGCATTCTTCAGTTTTTCCAAATAGAACCCACTCTTCGTCAGTATTTCATCCTCTTTTTGCAAAAATACTCCAGATTTTAGAGAATTTAAATTTTAGGTTTTAGTCATGTCTTTGGTTATGCACTACTACTATACTTCAATCCACTATTGTAACAACTACTACTATTATACTACTCCAAGTGTACTGCTACTACTATAAACGTCTGTGCACTTTTTGGAAGAAAACATGAAAAAATACACTCATTGTATCAATTAAGGCACTTCTAATCTGATCAGTCTAATATGTGTTTACGTGATTATTTTGTATTTCATCTACGTCTTCTTCAACGTCTGTGATAAACGGCCCAGACAAACACGTGACTCTTGGGCCTCGGACAAGAACCAATCCCATAAACGAACGTTCAAACCGGTACGAACGATTGGCAAAGAGAGCAGACGTCTCTCGACCAATCACCATCCAGCCCCTCCCCTACAGACCTGGTTAATATTCATGAGCTCGGCCTGGCGCGACAGCCAATCAGAGAGCCGCTTTGAGAGGCGTCAGGATCAGCGCAGACACGTGACGTAGGGACGCTTTATTTTAGTCAAAAGGAAGTGAATGAATGAAACAAAAATCAGAAATAGAAATCCCGCTCATCCTAAAATTTGTGACACGTGCGTTCTCTAAACTCCTCTAGGAACCATTTTGGGTTTAACATGAGAACTCCCAGAGCAGTCAATTTGACGGATTTCCGTTATGTGTAATTACTGCTCTTATACGTTTCTAGTCTTCATAACTTTGTGACTTTTTCTTCTATCTAAATGTAGTTTATATCTGTCATAATGTACTTGAGCATTTAGCATTTAGTTTTGTTGTGTTTTAATTATACTCACAAGTTTTTCCATGTATAAAAGAGTTACAAAACACCAGAATCCCTTAATTTCAATAAACAGTTGTGAAAATCTAAAATCTAGAATTACATTGATTTGAATGGGAGCCGTCAAAATGACTGCTGTGGGAGTCCGAGTGTAAAAGAATCTATGGTTTAGCGCTCTCTAGTTATATATTGGATAATAATCCAGATGAGCCTAATGTTTGACCAATCAGAAGCCTTCATCAGAGGGGGTTAATTATTTATGATTTAAAAAATGTAAGGCCATGTGGTCGTTTTCTTGTTTGGTTCAGAACTTTGTATGAACTGTGCTACACAAATAAACTTGTCTTGCCTTGTTACTGCTTCAGCTTTTGTAAAAATCGGCTTTTATCGAACACTATGGATGACGTATTCGCTAAAACCATAGTCCGGTGTGAGCCAAGAGTTGGTGCTGTCAGACTGTACAATGAACAACGAGGACTAACATGTCCTGCATCTGTGCAATAATTTAAAATATCAGAATGTGCTATAACTTAATGTGTCTGTGTCCCGGAGCCTCATGCTGCTAACATGCTAACAAGCTAACACAGGTCTGCACTAGAATATGATTATACTTATACTTCTTTGTTATACTAAAGTTAGATATTTAGAGTTATCGTTCACTGATCTTCTTTCCCATTTTTACCTTAGATTCCACTCGCCCTAGCCAGGTCTTATCCATCCGTACTCTCCGGTCAATCATCATGTCCTGCATGTAACGTCTGGGTCTGGTCCCTGTGTTTGCGATTACAATCGGTTGAATTCCATCCGACCAATCAGAGAGCGCGGGAGGCGGGTGTTGTAGTTAGTTGTGGGGGACATCCAGGAGTTTGCGCCGAACAGGCAGGTTGTAGTTCGGCAATGGCTAAGAATGCTTTAGTAATGTTTATCAAATGTAATCTCTGGCAAAGATTGTGGCGCTACCCCTCATAGGCTAAATGCTAACGACACACTCGGGCTCATTACAAACGTCACGGTAAACTCAGATCCAATCGTTTCAATCTGCAAATGGAGTTAACCCCTCCCACCTGTTAACGGAGCTCAATGGAGCAAATCCAGACCTTAGTACCAAATGAAATGAGTACTGTTAATTGTATTGTATTTTCTGTTATGCTCTGAATGCATTATTTGTTTATTGATTGATGACGTCACGGCCGGACCTTATTTAACCCCGCCCTAAATAAACCATGGCACCTTGCTTGTGTGAAATGAATCTGTGTGGACTGCTCGTCTTTTTCTCGCACAGTGCTAAAGGAGGCTCACACTGGGCTGCTGCGTAGCGAATTCTGACAACAGGTTATGGGCCCAGGAAGCCTCAGAGAGAGACTGGAGGACGCTGAGAAGTAAAAGTCGCGACGAACTGCGAGCTCAGTAAGTGCTAACCCGGTGCTAACGGCTAACGCCCAAAGACAGAATGGAGCGTACAGGTAGATGGTCCCGCCTGGTCTTCGACGGAGACGAAAAGGGATACGAACTGTGGGAAACTAAGTTTTTGGGACATTTGCATTTGCAAAAACTTAAACCGACCATATTGGGTGTTGGTGAAGACGATGACGACTTCGATGATAAAAATGCCGAAGCTTATTCTGAATTAATCCAGTTTCTCGACGACAAAAGTTTGAGTTTGGTCATGAGAGAAGCCCCTGATGATGGGAGACAAGCGTTGAAGATTTTACGCGCATATTATGCTGGTAAAGGAAAGCCACGTATTATCAGCCTTTACACGGAATTGACCAATCTCCAAAAAGCGAGCAGTGAAAGTGTAACGGAGTATGTTATACGTACAGAGACTATCATAACAGCGCTACGGGGCGCTGGTGAAACAATGAGTGATGATTTGCTAATTGCAAAGGTGTTAAAAGGACTACCGGAGTCATTCAGGCCGTTCGCCATACATATAACCCAAAGTGACGACACATTACAGTTTTCAGACTTTAAAGTGAAGTTACGGTCATTTGAAGACACGGTGAAAATGTGTGTACAGTCAGCTGAAGATAACGTAATGAAGATAAAAACCAAAGCATCTGACTGGCACGAAAACAACACCGCTACGAACATTGTTTGTTTTAAATGCGGCACAAAAGGACACAAAGCCAGAACGTGTCAGCGCAGGCAGTGGTGCAGTTTTTGTAAAAGTGCCACACACAAGGACGCAAACTGCAGACGGCGCCGACAAGATAATATAAGACAAGTCGCTGAGGAGGAGAGCACCGCTTATGCTTTCCTGACCCAAGACGTGGAGAGTCACCCAGAAGGACGTGTCAAGAGGGGACTGATGGTCGACACTGGAGCAACGTCCCACATCATTACCGAGGAGTCGATGTTCAGAAGCTTCGATGAGAACTTCAGATCGGAGACCCACTGTGTGGAGCTCGCAGATGGAACCAGGAGCCAGGGAGTGGCCAAGCAGCGGGGTGATGCTGAGGTGTTCCTGATCGACAGCAGTGGTCAGCGCCATGCAGCAACACTGAGGGGAGCACTGTTCATCCCGTCGTACCCACAGAACATCTTTTCTGTGAAGGCAGCCACATCTAGTGGGGCAACGATGGTCTTCAAGGAGGGGAAGAACTCCCTCATTCACAGAGACGGTACTGTTTTTCCAATCAGTGTGAAAAATAAACTGTACTACCTCGCTACAGCAATAGGAGGTAAGGATACACTTAATGGGTGTTTTGATCTACAGACATGGCATGAAATACTTGGACATTGTAATCATGAAGACGTACAAAAGCTACCAAAAGTGGTTAGAGGTATGACTATTAAAGGTAAAATGGAGAAGCCTATTCCACCATGTGAAGTGTGCATCCAGGGAAAGTTTGTTCAAACAAGGAGCAGAGAAGCTGATGCACGTGCCACAGATGTGTTACAGTTAGTACATACAGATCTTGCAGGGCCAGTAGATCCCATGTCCAAAGAGGGCTACAGATATGCCCTATCATTCACTGATGATTTTTCCAGTGCAGTTTTTGTTTATTTTCTTAAACAAAAGAGTGATACAGTAAATGCAACAGAGAAGTTTCTAGCTGATACTGCCCCCTATGGGAAGATTAAATGTATCAGATCTGATAATGGGACTGAGTTCACATCAAAAGAGTATCAGTCATTATTAAAGCAAAACAGAATTAGACATGAGACCTCTGCGCCGTATTCTCCACACCAGAACGGCACAGCAGAGCGGAACTGGCGGACATTATTTGACATGGCCAGGTGTATGATCGTCGAAAGTGACCTGCCAAAATCATTGTGGCCTTATGCTGTACAGACAGCAGCTGTAGTCAGAAACCGGTGTTTTAATAATCGCACAAAACAAACACCGTACTTTATGCTGACGGGGAACAAACCAGATGTTTCCAAAATGCAAAAATTTGGCTCTGTGTGTTTTGCTTACAAGCAAGACAAAAAGAAACTTGACACAAGATGTGAAAAAGGAGTGTTCATTGGATATGACAAAAATAGCCCAGCTTACTTGGTCTATTATCCTAATAGTGAAAAGGTCCAAAAGAACAGATTGTTGAAGTTTGTGTTAAAGAAAACTGTGGAGCAGCAAACCCAAACAGTGTTAACATCTGACGACGATGATGAAACGACCAGAACTAAACCAAGACCTGTATCAAAACCAATTGGGACCTCTGAGAACATCCAGGAGGATGAGCCAGAAGATCTAGTCCCTGAAAGGAATGAGACTGAGCCAAGTAAGACCAGCAGTAGGAGATATCCATCCAGAGACAGACGGAAGCCGAGTTATCTGTATGAATATGTTTCTGATTTTGACAGTGATGATCAGGTGCTAATTAATATTGATTATTGTTATAGACTGTCATGTGGAGTACCACAATCTTTCAGGGAAGCGGTGACTTCACCAGAATCAAACTGCTGGATCAGAGCCATGGACGAGGAGATTCTATCATTGAGGGAGAATAACACATTCACCCTGACCAACTTACCCAGAGGCAAGTGTGCAGTGGGGGGAAAGTGGGTGTACGCCATTAAGAGGAACGAAGATGGTACGGACAAGTACAAGGCACGTTATGTTGCAAAAGGTTATAGTCAAAGGCGTGGAGTGGATTACGAAGAAACGTTCTCTCCAACTGCAAATATGACCAGCGTGAGAGTTTTAATGCAGAAAGCTGCCCAAGAAAACTTACTTTTGCATCAAATGGACGTTAAAACCGCCTACCTACATGCACCCATAGATTGTGAACTCTATCTTGAGCAGCCAGAGGGATATGAGATCAAATCAACATCAGATGAACAGTTGGTGTGCAAATTAGACAAATCAATTTACGGACTGAAACAATCCGGCCGTAATTGGAATCACATGTTGCATTCATATTTGATTGATAATAACTTTGCCCAAAATGAGTCTGATCATTGTGTTTATACAAGAAAAACAGTAAAAGAAGAAGTCATAATAATAATTTGGGTCGATGACTTAATTTTGGCTACAAGTGATGAAAAGGCAATGAAAACTGTTAAGGAAATGCTTTCAGCCAAGTTCAATATGAAAGATTTGGGCAAACTCAAATATTTCTTGGGTATTGATTTTGAACAATCAAATGAGTGCATAAGGATGTCTCAAAGACAATATGTGGAAAAGTTATTAGTCAGGTTTAACATGCAAGACTGTAAACCTCGTACAACACCATGTGAACAGAAACTCAACTATTCTGTTGATGCTAATGTTTTAAGTGATGTTAAAAAGTACAGAGAGGCAGTAGGGAGCCTGATTTACCTTGCCACATGTACAAGACCAGATCTAAGCTTTGTTGTAAGCAGGTTATCTCAATACTTTACAAACCCCACAGAGGAGCAATGGGTGACCGCTAAACATGTACTTAGATATTTGAAAGAGACAATGGACAAGGAGCTCTGTTACAGTAAAAATGATAATGACAATGACCATATGTGTATATGTGCCTACAGTGATGCAGACTGGGCAGCAGATTCCTTTGATAGACGCAGCACTACAGGTTACTGTATATGTCTTAAAGAAAAGGGGCCTGTTATTTCATGGAAATCCAAAAAGCAGCCGACTGTGGCATTATCTACTTGTGAAGCAGAGTATATGGCATTAGCAGCAACTGTCCAGGAATGTTTGCACCTGACTCACCTACTGGAAGGTTTTGGTATGTCCATAGATATACCACCAAAAATCTTTGAGGACAATCAAGGAGCTATTGCTTTAGCTAGAAACCCAGTGAGCAGGCAAAGGTGCAAACACGTTGACATAAAATATCATTTTGTAAGATCAACTGTAAATGAAGGTAAAGTGACGTTACACTATTGTCCTACAGAGGAGATGTTGGCAGATGTGATGACAAAACCAGCATCACAGCACAAGCTATTTAAGTTCTCTAACATTTTGTTTGGTTAAAAGTGTGGACAGTGTGTATTTTTGTTTCCGTATTTCCTGTTGTGAAGGAAGCTAACACATTTGAGAGCAAGTGGGGGTGTTAATTGTATTGTATTTTCTGTTATGCTCTGAATGCATTATTTGTTTATTGATTGATGACGTCACGGCCGGACCTTATTTAACCCCGCCCTAAATAAACCATGGCACCTTGCTTGTGTGAAATGAATCTGTGTGGACTGCTCGTCTTTTTCTCGCACAGTGCTAAAGGAGGCTCACACTGGGCTGCTGCGTAGCGAATTCTGACAACAAGTACTATGGTGCGGTACGGCCTGGCTACACTCGCACCAGTATCTTTGATAGTTAAACATTAAATTATGAGAGTACTTCTGTGGCATCTTTTGAATCTGATTCTTAACTCGACTCTTGATCGCGTCATATACAACATCATTTAATTTTAAACTTTATCTTGACTCAGCCACAAATTGGAGGTTATCAAAGCGTTTCAACCGTCCAATCACAGACCTCCGTTTAATCATTCGATCTTTTCTCTCACAGATTAGCCTCATTAGCTCCACACGATCATTAAAGTTTGTTCATGTGCACTTAGACAGACTTATTTAACTCTGAGACAACTTCTGTTGTGGTTCAGGGCTATACTTTCAGTTCCAAATATTAGCATTTCCAAAAAACATGTATCAGTAGTTTAGAGCAGGATTCTTTGAGCAGTTGGTCATAGCTAGCTGTAGCTTACTCGGCTAATCATAACAGAAACATGTACAAACCGGTTTGAATTTTTATTGTGAGTCAACCGTGGACAAAATAGCCGTTAAAGTCCAGAAAACACAATTGTAGTCTTTGGCGTTCCATGGAAAATATTATAAAACAATTAAACTGGCTTTTTACAAGTAAATACATAAGTTAGCTAAGATGCTAACAAGCTGACAGTGCAAACGCTGCTCTCCTTTACATCAAAAACACTAATTTCTGCTTAAAACTACAGCTCGTAACTTTATTTGAATATTTGTACAAAATAAATAATGTCTTGGAAAACTTTCAGTGCACGCTTCACGCTCAGGAAAACTATTTCAGATATGTTTTTAACCGCTATAGAAAATGTAGCAGATGTAGCAAGTTCTCCAAAAGCAAAACAAATCCCTTTTACATTGATATAAATACAGAAAGTTAATAATATTATAAATCACTCCGTAACAATCGTTCTTCTTAGTGTAACGCTACAAAACAAAGTCACTTCAGGATGGACCACTTTATCTGCTCCTTTGCCGACTGCAAAACCTGGGAAACAAATATTAATGAATGACACACGTAAATATCGCTATTATCTACAAAAATATTCATTATTCTGCCACAAAGGCTGCAAGTGCTAAGACCAACCACCAGGGGGCATCTGTGAGCCACGTCACGGAGGCTGCTCTGACTTCAACTATTGTAGATGTTTTTATTATTTTACAAGATTTTCAGTCATTATTTTACGTTCTACATGATTTTCTCTCCATCACTTGTGTTTTTCTGTTTGTGTCTACTCTGAGGAGCACAGGGACTGGCCTCCTGCTGGGACTCTGAGGAGCACAGGGACTGGCCTCCTGCTGGGACTCTGAGGAGCACAGGGACTGGCCTCCTGCTGGGACTCTGAGGAGCACAGGGACTGGCCTCCTGCTGGGACTCTGAGGAGCACAGGGACTGGCCTCCTGCTGGGACTCTGAGGAGCACAGGGACTGGCCTCCTGCTGGGACTCTTGAGGAGCACAGGGACTGGCCTCCTGCTGGGACTCTTGAGGAGCACAGGGACTGGCCTCCTGCTGAGACTCTTGAGGAGCACAGGGACTGGCCTCCTGCTGGGACTCTTGAGGAGCACAGGGACTGGCCTCCTGCTGGGACTCTGAGGAGCACAGGGACTGGCCTCCTGCTGGGACTCTTGAGGAGCACAGGGACTGGCCTCCTGCTGGGACTCTTGAGGAGCACAGGGACTGGCCTCCTGCTGGGACTCTTGAGGAGCACAGGGACTGGCCTCCTGCTGGGACTCTGAGGAGCACAGGGACTGGCCTCCTGCTGGGACTCTGAGGAGCACAGGGGACTGGCCTCATGCTGGGACTCTGAAGGAGCACAGGGACTGGCCTCCTGCTGGGACTCTTGAGGAGCACAGGGACTGGCCTCCTGCTGGGACTCTTGAGGAGCACAGGGACTGGCCTCCTGCTGATCTCAGAGTCAGATTTATGCAGCTAAAGTCTGGAACAATCTTCCTGAAAATGTGGGACAGACTTCTTCTCTGACAATGTTCGAATCCAGGGTGAAACGGTTCTGAAGGATTTTATCTTTACTCTTTTTAATGAACTGTCATTTTAATGCCTTGTGTGATTGTTTTGTGAAGTACTTTGAGTATTGTCTAATAGTGAAGATGAAGGCCACATCTTGCTTTATGTAATGCAACACTGGTCATAAAGTTTAGTCATGATAGGATACTGTTACATTATAGACCTCACATCTCAGAATATCCATTTAATAGTTTCATCAGAAAAGTTAAAAACACAATTTCATCTGAGGATTTATAAAGCATCCAACTGCAACAACAATAATAACAGTTTTGTGCATTTAAAAACCAACCCACGTCTGAATTCAACACAAACTCCTTTCTCCTTCATTTGTGGCATTGAATACTGATCAAGATGATAACACATTATTGAATCAAACATGGAGCTGCCCTGATTCATATAATGTTGAATTTTAGTGTCAAAAGAAAGACAGAAAGAGGATAAATGTTGAATTTGAACGAAGCCTTTTGTGAGAAAAGCTGCAGTTCCCAAAGCGGTCAGAGGGTGGCGCCAGAAACTTACGTTAGAGGTGAGCGCCAACTTCTCTGTTATGTGCTGTGGGTTAGACAGGAGCACCAGCGTTAGACAGGGGCAGTAGTAGTACAAGGCAGTAGTAGTAGTACAAGGCAGTAGTAGTAGCAGTAGTATACGGCACATGCAGTACAAGGCAGTAGTAGTAGTAGTATACGACACATGTAGTACTAGGCAGTAGTAGTAGTACACGTCACATGTACTAGGCAGTAGCAATAGTATACAGCACATGTAGTACACTAGGCAGCAGTAGTAGTAGTATACGGCACATGTAGTACAAGGTAGTAGTAGTAGTACAAGGCACATGTAGTACAAGGCAGTAGTAGTAGTAGTATACGGCACATGTAGTACAAGGCAGTAGTAGTAGTAGTATACGGCACATGTAGTACAAGGCAGTAGTAGTAGTAGTAGTAGTATACGGCACATGTAGTACAAGGCAGTAGTAGTAGTATACGGCACATGTAGTACAAGGCAGTAGTAGTAGTACAAGGCACATGTAGTAAAAGGCAGAAGTAGTGGTAGTACACAGTAGTAGCAAGAATAGTAGTAGAAGTAGTGGTAAACATTAGTAGCAGTAGTAGTACACATTAGTAGCAGTAGTAGTACACATTAGTAGCAGTAGTAGTACACATTAGTAGCAGTAGTATAAAACATTTGTGTTTGTGAGAGCAGAGGATAAATATTTGTTGTTCCCCAAAACCCTCTAAAGTAATGTTTTAATATTAACATGATGTGTACAAAAGTGTGGGTGAAACGTTTTGATATTTAATCAAATAAAAATCTGTTTCACTTTTGTGAGTTCCACAAATGAAACCAAACTCGTTCTCGTTGTGAAGCGTCAGTGGGTGGATTACCTGTGTAACGCTCTGCTCTGATAACGAGCCCTCGTCCGCCTGCAGAGGAGGGAGGGGTTAGTGCGCCATATCATTAAATCATTCAGAGACGCACAAAACAACACAAACTTCAAATACTGTCATTAAAACTGAAACTTCTGGGTAGAATGTGAGAAAACACACAACATGAACAAATTCAAAGTCCTGATCGAGGCAAAGCAAGTCTAGACCAGAGACACAAGACCAGAGACCAGAGAGAGACCAGAGAGAGACCAGAGAGAGAGACCAGAGAGAGAGACCAGAGAGAGAGACCAGAGAGAGAGACCAGAGAGAGAGACCAGAGAGAGAGACCAGAGAGAGAGACCAGAGAGAGACCAGAGAGAGAGACCAGAGACCAGAGAGAGAGACCAGAGACCAGAGACTAGAGAGAGACCAGAGAGAGACCAGAGACTAGAGAGACCAGAGAGAGACCAGAAAGAGACCAGAGAGAGACCAGAGAGAGACCAGAGAGAGAGACCAGAGAGAGACCAGAGAGAGACCAGAGAGAGAGACCAGAGAGAGACCAGAGAGAGACCAGAGACTAGAGAGAGACCAGAGAGAGACCAGAGACTAGAGAGACCAGAGAGAGACCAGAGACTAGAGAGACCAGAGAGAGACCAGAGACTAGAGAGACCAGAGAGAGACCAGAGACCAGAGAGAGACCAGAGAGAGAGACCAGAGACTAGAGGGACCAGAGAGAGAACAGAGAGAGACCAGAGAGAGAGACCAGAGACTAAAGGGACCAGAGAGAGACCAGAGAGAGAGACCAGAGACTAGAGGGACCAGAGAGAGACCAGAGAGAGACCAGAGAGAGACCAGAGAGAGACCAGAGAGAGACCAGAGAGAGAGACCAGAGAGAGAGACCAGAGAGAGAGACCAGAGAGAGAGACCAGAGAGAGACCAGAGAGAGACCAGAGACTAGAGAGACCAGAGAGAGACCAGAGACTAGAGAGACCAGAGAGAGACCAGAGAGAGACCAGAGACTAGAGAGACCAGAGAGAGACCAGAGACTAGAGAGACCAGAGAGAGACCAGAGAGAGACCAGAGAGAGACCAGAGAGAGAGACCAGAGAGAGAGACCAGAGAGAGAGACCAGAGACTAGAGAGAGAGACCAGAGAGAGACCAGAGAGAGAGACCAGAGAGAGAGACCAGAGACTAGAGAGAGAGACCAGAGAGAGACCAGAGAGAGAGACCAGAGACTAGAGAGAGAGACCAGAGAGAGACCAGAGAGAGACCAGAGACTAGAGAGAGAGGGTTAGTTTATCACTGGAGAGCAGGGTCATGTCAAACCAGGCCTCAGAGGCAGGTGCGGCTGCAGGTTTTCCTTCCAGCCTGAGCAGGAGCACAGACTCCACCCACTTCCGCAGGTGAGTCCAGCTTCCACCTGAAGAAATGGGTGGAGTCTTTGTGCTTCTGCTCAGGCTGGAACTTCATGTGGATTGTCCAAGAATTATAGAGAAATTAGTTCAACTCGGACAGTTTCCGAGTTACCAGGAAAGACGACTGCATGTTAAACTACGGGCTCTTTGGAATGTGCTGATGTCACATGAACACAACCCAACAGTGGATGGAGATAACAATAACAACCCAGGGCGGTTTTCTGAGTGCTCAATGTAAAAATATCATTGTCTTCTTATGTTTAGGGCTTAGAACACGGGGGGAAAATACGGTTCTCAAAGGGCCGGAGTGGCTGCAGGTTATAGGTTTGGAACATAGTCTGTAAATATTAACGGACGTAGTCACGCCTATCTCCATCGTTCTAACTAATGGGCCAAAAATTGGGCTCTCATGGAGTGATTCAAAATGGCCGCGGGGGCTGGAAAATGTGAAAAAAACGCATCTGTGCATGCGTCAGCTGCACGAGCCCCGTTCATTTGAACGAGTGACTTCAAAAACTCACAGCGACTAAACTAGACTGGTCCAGAACACTCAGCATTGACACACATGTGGAACGGAGCTTTGGGCCAAGAGACCACTTTTGGACCATCCTGTAAAGACGTTTTCGAGAGGTCAGAAGATGCTATATGTTAGCATTGGCTAATTCTTATTCCGGGTCCACCCCCATCGGCCTGGGTCGGTATTGCAGCATGTCAGCGCACGTGATATTGGCCACTTTTGAGCCGGGACCCGCCCCCACTGGTTTGGCAACGGTTTGACACCATCGTCTTATTTAAAATGTATATTAGGAGGATTTTCCCAAATTTTAGGAAAGAACTCTCTGGTCTTATTTGACGAGCATGTATCACCAGAATGATTGACAATCAGGAGGACCAATAGTCTTGATGATGCAGAAGTAGAGCATCCTCCTATTTACCTTTGAAATAACCTTCTAAGTTGTTTTACCAGGTTTATTCTAAAGTAATTGATTTGTTTGAAGCAGTGGGGGCGGGTCCCAGCCCAAAAATGTCCAAAATGAGGTGCGCTGAAATACTGCAATACCACCCCAGGCCTGTGGGGGTGGACCCGGAATAAGAATTAGCCAATGCTAACGTATAGTATCTTCTCTCGAAAACGTCTTTACAGGATGGTCCAAAAGTGGTATATTTTTTTGGAGTGAATGTTTTTGGACCAGTCTAGTTTAGTCGCTGTGGAATTTTAAATGCACTTGTTAAATGAATGGGGCTGGTGCAGCTAACACATGCGCAAATGCGTTTTTCCACATTTTCCAGTCCACACGGCCATTTTGAAAAGCCCCATAGAAGGCAAAAGTGAGGGCACATTAGTTTCAACGGCGGAGATAAACGTGACTACATTTGTGAATATTTACAGTCTAAGGTTTGAACACTGCACGTCCTGAGTTAGTCTTCACTCCCATGCAATACTTTCCTCCCCCTGTCCCTCTGCCCTGGGGGGGGGGCAAGCTCCTGTGGCCCTAACCCCCTAGGGCATCTGGCTCCTCTGGCCCTGAGCCTCCTCACTCCCTGTGATGTAGTCGAAGAGAACAAAGCCGTAGCCAGACTCTGTGACTTGCTGACGGAGAGAGACGGTGAAAACAAGAGAAGGATGAGGAGCAGAAGAGCGTTCTTTCCATGGATCTATAATAATAACTGGATAGTGTATTACTAGCTTACAGCTGTCCCACTCATGGGCACAGGGGGTGCTGTGGTACTGCAGACTAAACAGAGAACCTGACAGAGAACCTGACAGAGAACCTGACAGAGAACCCGACAGAGAACCCGACAGAGAACCTGACAGAGAACCTGACAGAGAACCTACAGCTTTCATAAAGGTTGGATTTTTTGGGTATGTTAGTGTCCCTTGTCGTCCTGAACTTTTTTTCTTCTTAAATCCTTCTGTTTTCTTTAAATCCACACTTTACTGCCACAAACTCTGCTCCTTTCCTTCCCGCTCTGACTCCGCTCTGCTGCTGCTCTGATGATCAGCTCTGATTGGTCAGAGTGTGGCCGAGCCCCTCTGTGCACGTGCACGAGAGGTCCACACACGCGTATTTGGCACAAAGCATCATGGGAGTTCGTCCACTGCACAGAACCGGGGTCGGCACTAGATCATAGAAGGAATCGGGACAAAACCGGAAGTAACAATCCTACTTTCGAATTAGTTTTAGACTAAAAAGTCCTTAAGTGGTGTGTTGGAATATTGAACTCCTGGACCAGTTAAAATTAAAATCAGTTTAGTATTGTTTCTGTTGCCAAATTAGCACTTGTTTGTGTAAATCTCAAAGAGCAGTGAGTTCAAGGTTAGTCTGTGTGAAATGGGAGGGGGACAAGAGGGAGACAAGTGGTTATCAGAGCAGGTGCAAACGTTGGCAGTGGGCCAGAAGGAGTCATAGGGTCCATACAGTTGTGATGTCAAGTGACCTTGGATGTAAAGTATAAGAGATGTGCAGGAGCGGTCACGGGAGACTTTTTCTTTTTCTCCTGATCAGGAGCAGAGAGAGACCCGAGGCCACCCCTTATCTTGAACGCGAAGCGAGACCTGTTCGCAGACCGTGTAATCTTGTAATATTGCTTGCAAATCTTCAATATAACCTTTTGAAATCAGGTTTGGTATCTGTCATTTCTATTACTGTTTTAACATTGGTTTTTGTCTCTTGTTGAACTAAAAGGACCTGCAGAACGAAGGGCTGCTGGGTTTGCGGCCTCTCTGCAGCTTCTGGGGCAGGGGAATTCTGACAAATTACAGCAGGTGACTGGTTAAGTTTTAGGCGTCTGAGTAAGATGGTTAAGGTTAGGGTTAAAGCTGCACTAACTGACTTTATTTTTGTATTCATTACTAAAAGTCTATCCATGTCCGTGTAGTGCATTGGGATAAACGTCCTTTTGAAGAAAAAGTAGCGCAGATTTGTGCTGGCGTGACATTATATTTTAGATTGAGTTTTGATGAAACAAGGAAGAGAATGTGTTTCGGGTCGCAGATTGTGACCAATCACAGCGGACCACTAGCCCCCACTTTCGTGAGAAATCTACAGGTCCGTTAGCATAGACGGCTGAGTTAGCACAACAAGCCGAGGAGCTAACCTGAAGCTTCCTCGTCTTCGTCACCGGTTTCTGCTTACACAGCGAGACAGCCATCCAAAAGAAAGTCTCGTTCCTCCGCTCTTCCCGGTTCTATCGTTCTATGGTCACGCCATCCACGTGAAAATCCATATCCATGTATTATCCATATTGGAAGACGCTAACTCAGTCCCAACAGTGGGTGTGTGTGTGGGGGGCGATAGCTTCGTGGGTGCGGGGAGGGGAGCAGAAAGAGAGGCCAGCGAGTCCACGGCTTCAAAATCCCAAAGTCAGTTAGTGCAGCTTTAAGGCTGGGTTGGGGTTATTTTATGGAATGGCTGGTTAAGTTTAGGCATGAATAGGTATTTTGTTATATTTACTTCTGCTTCCGTCCCGATTCCGTATATGATCTAGTGCTGACCACAGAACCGGGAGGACCCGACGATGCCCAAATATGGGCGAGTTCTGCTAATCTCCCGGCCTCTGTGAAGTCCCATGAACTACTGAGCACAAGCCATTCATTTGAACAGGGCGCCATCTTGGATCGCCGGGGCTTGGTCCTGTTCAGGCCGAGCTGGTACTGAAGTGTTCTAACTGACAGGGATTGGCCAGAGTGCTGCTGGAAGCCATGGTTACCAAGGAATTTCCCTGAATACTGGTTTGTTGTGAGAAGGAAGTAGAGTAGAGTAGAGTAGAGTAGAGTAGAGTAGAGTAGAGTAGAGTAGCGTAGCGTACCAGCCTCTGATTGAAGCAAAAACACTTCTTGTGTTGCTAACTTTGCAAAAAATAAATAAAATAAAAAGCACAAGGAGTAAGAGATAAACAGGTCTTACTCTGTAGTTAACCTTCTGTAGAACTTGTTGTGGATCACACTCCAGGATCACCCTGAAACACACACACACACACACACACACACACACACAGGACTGATTAGCAATAGCATTAGCATTAGCATTAGCATGGGTGATGTCCCTGTTCCCAAAGGCAACGTTTTATGCAAATTCCTCTGACTTTCTGAACATGTTACAACAATGTTCCTCAAACACAGACCACGAGTTGGTTTAAGGTCTGTGTGTGTAAGTGTTATAGTGTGTGTGTTATAGTGTGTGTGTTATAGTGTGTGTAAGTGTGTGTGTGTTATAGTGTGTGTGTTATAGTGTGTGTAAGTGTGTGTGTGTTATAGTGTGTGTGTTATAGTGTGTGTGTTATAGTGTGTGTAAGTGTGTGTGTGTTATAGTGTGTGTAAGTGTGTGTGTGTTATAGTGTGTGTGTTATAGTGTGTGTAAGTGTGTGTGTGTTATAGTGTGTGTGTTATAGTGTGTGTGTTATAGTGTGTGTAAGTGTGTGTGTGTTATAGTGTGTGTAAGTGTGTGTGTGTTATAGTGTGTGTGTTATAGTGTGTGTAAGTGTGTGTGTTATAGTGTGTGTAAGTGTGTGTGTTATAGTGTGTGTGTTATAGTGTGTGTAAGTGTGTGTGTTATAGTGTGTGTAAGTGTGTGTGTTATAGTGTGTGTAAGTGTGTGTGTTATAGTGTGTAAGTGTGTGTGTTATAGTGTGTGTGTTATAGTGTGTGTGTTATAGTGTGTGTAAGTGTGTGTGTGTTATAGTGTGTGTGTTATAGTGTGTGTAAGTGTGTGTGTTATAGTGTGTGTAAGTGTGTGTGTTATAGTGTGTGTGTTATAGTGTGTGTAAGTGTGTATGTTATAGTGTGTGTAAGTGTGTGTGTTATAGTGTGTGTAAGTGTGTGTGTTATAGTGTGTAAGTGTGTGTGTTATAGTGTGTGTGTTATAGTGTGTGTAAGTGTGTGTATTATAGTGTGTGTAAGTGTGTGTGTTATAGTGTGTGTAAGTGTGTGTGTTATACTGTGTAAGTGTGTGTGTTATAGTGTGTGTAAGTGTGTGTGTTATAGTGTGTGTGAGTGTGTGTGTTATAGTGTGTGTGAGTGTGTGTGTTATAGTGTGTGTAAGTGTGTGTGTTATAGTGTGTAAGTGTGTGTGTTATAGTGTGTAAGTGTGTGTGTTATAGTGTGTGTAAGTGTGTGTGTTATAGTGTGTGTAAGTGTGTGTGTTATAGTGTGTGTGAGTGTGTGTGTTATAGTGTGTGTGAGTGTGTGTAAGTGTGTGTGTTATAGTGTGTAAGTGTGTGTGTTATAGTGTGTGTAAGTGTGTGTGTTATAGTGTGTGTAAGTGTGTGTGTTATAGTGTGTAAGTGTGTGTGTTATATTGTGTAAGTGTGTGTGTTATAGTGTGTAAGTGTGTGTGTTATAGTGTGTGTAAGTGTGTGTGTTATAGTGTGTGTAAGTGTGTGTGTGTTATAGTGTGTAAGTGTGTGTGTTATAGTGTGTGTAAGTGTGTGTAAGTGTGTGTGTTATAGTGTGTAAGTGTGTGTGTTATAGTGTGTGTGTTATAGTGTGTAAGTGTGTGTGTTATAGTGTGTGTAAGTGTGTGTGTTATACTGTGTAAGTGTGTGTGTTATAGTGTGTGTAAGTGTGTGTGTTATAGTGTGTGTGTTATAGTGTGTGTGTTATAGTGTGTGTAAGTGTGTGTGTTATAGTGTGTGTGAGTGTGTGTGTTATAGTGTGTGTAAGTGTGTGTGTTATAGTGTGTGTAAGTGTGTGTGTGTTATAGTGTGTGTAAGTGTGTGTGTTATAGTGTGTGTAAGTGTGTGTGTTATAGTGTGTGTGAGTGTGTGTGTTATAGTGTGTGTAAGTGTGTGTGTTATAGTGTGTGTAAGTGTGTGTGTTATAGTGTGTGTAAGTGTGTGTGTTATAGTGTGTGTAAGTGTGTGTGTATAGTGTGTGTGTTATAGTGTGTATGAGTATGTGAGTGTGTGTGTTATAGTGTGTGTGTTATAGTGTGTAAGTGTGTGTGTTATAGTGTGTAAGTGTGTGTGTTATAGTGTGTGTGTTATAGTGTGTGTAAGTGTGTGTGTTATAGTGTGTGTAAGTGTGTGTGTTATAGTGTGTGTAAGTGTGTGTGTTATAGTGTGTAAGTGTGTGTGTTATAGTGTGTGTAAGTGTGTGTGTTATAGTGTGTAAGTGTGTGTGAGTATGTGAGTGTGTGTGTTATAGTGTGTGTAAGTGTGTGTGTTATAGTGTGTGTAAGTGTGTGTGTTATAGTGTGTAAGTGTGTGTGAGTATGTGAGTGTGTGTGTTATAGTGTGTGTAAGTGTGTGTGTTATAGTGTGTAAGTGTGTGTGAGTATGTGAGTGTGTGTGTTATAGTGTGTGTAAGTGTGTGTGTTATAGTGTGTAAGTGTGTGTGAGTATGTGAGTGTGTGTGTAAGTGTGTGTGTTATAGTGTGTAAGTGTGTGTGAGTATGTGAGTGTGTGTGTTATAGTGTGTGTAAGTGTGTGTGTTATAGTGTGTAAGTGTGTGTGTTATAGTGTGTGTAAGTGTGTGTGTTATAGTGTGTGTAAGTGTGTGTGTTATAGTGTGTGTGAGTGTGTGTGTTATAGTGTGTGTGAGTGTGTGTGTTATAGTGTGTGTAAGTGTGTGTGTTATAGTGTGTAAGTGTGTGTGTTATAGTGTGTGTAAGTGTGTGTGTTATAGTGTGTAAGTGTGTGTGTTATATTGTGTAAGTGTGTGTGTTATAGTGTGTAAGTGTGTGTGTTATAGTGTGTGTAAGTGTGTGTGTTATAGTGTGTGTAAGTGTGTGTGTGTTATAGTGTGTAAGTGTGTGTGTTATAGTGTGTGTAAGTGTGTGTGTTATAGTGTGTAAGTGTGTGTGTTATAGTGTGTGTGTTATAGTGTGTAAGTGTGTGTGTTATAGTGTGTGTAAGTGTGTGTGTTATACTGTGTAAGTGTGTGTGTTATAGTGTGTGTAAGTGTGTGTGTTATAGTGTGTGTGTTATAGTGTGTGTAAGTGTGTGTGTTATAGTGTGTGTTATAGTGTGTGTGAGTGTGTGTGTTATAGTGTGTGTAAGTGTGTGTGTTATAGTGTGTGTAAGTGTGTGTGTGTTATAGTGTGTGTAAGTGTGTGTGTTATAGTGTGTGTAAGTGTGTGTGTTATAGTGTGTGTGAGTGTGTGTGTTATAGTGTGTGTAAGTGTGTGTGTTATAGTGTGTGTAAGTGTGTGTGTTATAGTGTGTGTAAGTGTGTGTGTTATAGTGTGTGTAAGTGTGTGTGTATAGTGTGTGTGTTATAGTGTGTATGAGTATGTGAGTGTGTGTGTTATAGTGTGTGTGTTATAGTGTGTAAGTGTGTGTGTTATAGTGTGTGTAAGTGTGTGTGTTATAGTGTGTGTAAGTGTGTGTAAGTGTGTGTGTTATAGTGTGTAAGTGTGTGTGTTATAGTGTGTGTAAGTGTGTGTGTTATAGTGTGTAAGTGTGTGTGAGTATGCGAGTGTGTGTGTTATAGTGTGTGTAAGTGTGTGTGTTATAGTGTGTGTAAGTGTGTGTGTTATAGTGTGTAAGTGTGTGTGAGTATGTGAGTGTGTGTGTGTTATAGTGTGTGTAAGTGTGTGTGTTATAGTGTGTAAGTGTGTGTGAGTATGTGAGTGTGTGTGTTATAGTGTGTGTAAGTGTGTGTGTTATAGTGTGTGTAAGTGTGTGTGTTATAGTGTGTGTGAGTATGTGAGTTATAGTGTGTGTAAGTGTGTGTGTTATAGTGTGTAAGTGTGTGTAAGTATGTGAGTGTGTGTGTTAAGAGCATGTGTGTGTGTCTCACCCTCCGTCGATGATCTCGTCCACCACCAGAAACACTCCGTCCATATTGTCCAGCAGACAGCGCCGCTCCACGTTTTTCCTAAACACACACACACACACACACACACACACACAGACCTTCAGTTGTGTTACCGCCGTTTCCTCATTTACAAACTCAACATTTTTATAGACTTTATTGATCTCACACTGGAGACATTTACATTTAGTCTTACTACTACTACTACCTCTACTGCTGTTGTTACTACTGCTACTACTGCTTTTGCTACTGCTGTTACTGCTACTGCTACTACAAAAAATGTACTAGATCAAATAAAAATCAGACAAAAATCCTTGCTGCTTCTTAAATCATAAAAGTCACGCTATTTTCATGAGATTCGAACCAACAACCCTCAGTCCGAGTCTTTCCTCTGAAACTCGTGTCATTTACATTTGACACAAAGAAACTCAAATCCTCTGCATCCGTTGCCGCGGCGACAGGAGGGATAATCCTCACTGTGCTTTGTGACCAGAAGGAGGCGTTCAGAGGGTTTGGCCTCACTATTATTATTATTATTCTGTTGTTACTATTACTACATACATTCACTTGATCTCAGCTGCGTATCGTTGCCATGGAGACGCTACCTGTGTCCGTCCGGTAAATAAGACTTTTTTTAGGCTTAAGGCTTCAGACGGGAGAGAGAACAAAGAGAGTTTTCTTACAATGATCTAACACAGTGTGGTTGTAATGTTTTATTTAAATGCTAGACACATTTGAATAAGTTCATTGATAATTAGCATTAGACCTGAGAACTGGACTTAATGTGATCAAAGGGCGGGAACTGTCAAAAACATGAGATTCGAGAGTGTTGCGATATTTGGGCCGCAATTCAATATTATCGCGATTCTTAAGACGTTGCGATATAAACTCTGTTCCTATTCCTGGTTCTAGTCAAGACTCGAGCTGCAGCTTTTAAAACAGTAGAAGAAGAGACAAGTCACGGTCCTGATTCAAATACATCAGAGATTACATCTAAAACAATGAGTGTGTGTCATTGTCGTGTGTGTGTCGTTGCCGTGTGTGTGTCGTTGCCGTGTGTGTGTCGTTGCCGTGTGTGTGTCGTTGCCGTGTGTGTGTGTGTCGTTGCCGTGTGTGTGTGTGACTCGTTGTTGTGTGTGTGTGTGTCATTGTTGTGCATGTGTTATTGTGTGTGTCCAGTACACACCTGAGGATCTGACTGATGGAGTCGAACAAACAGTTGAGGACCGACATCAGCATCAGCTACAAAACAACACAACAACACACAACTTACAATTCAATACATTTGTGTATCGCCCTAAATCACAACAGTCGTTCTCTCAGAGGACTTTACAAAACTGTCGATTCTTGGATCTGTGTTGGTGAATCGACAATCTTAAGGAGCAGAGACCAAAGTCCTAAGTATTGTTTGTTTGTCGGACGCCATCTGTCGATTCATTTATGTTTATTTTGTTCTAATAAAATGATTTTTAAAAGGAAAACATCAATAAGGAAAGTTATTACACTTCCCTATTAGAGCGACTCTAGTGCGACTCTAGAGCGACTCTAGAGCGACTCTAGTGCGACTCTAGAGCGACTCTAGTGCGACTCTAGAGCGACTCTAGTGCGACTCTAGTGCGACTCTAGTGCGACTCTAGTGCGACTCTAGTGCGACTCTAGTGCGACTCTAGTGCGACTCTAGTGCGACTCTAGTGCGACTCTAGTGCGACTCTAGTGCGACTCTAGTGCGACTCTAGTGCGACTCTAGAGCGACTCTAGAGCGACTCTAGAGCGACTAGTGCGACTCTAGTGCGACTCTAGAGCGACTAGTGCGACTCTAGAGCGACTCTAGTGCGACTCTAGTGCGACTCTAGTGCGACTCTAGTGCGACTCTAGAGCGATTCTAGTGCGACTCTAGAGCGACTCTAGTGCGACTCTAGTGCGACTCTAGTGCGACTCTAGTGCGACTCTAGTGCGACTCTAGAGCGACTCTAGTGCGACTCTAGTGCGACTCTAGTGCGACTCTAGTGCGACTCTAGTGCGACTCTAGAGCGACTAGTGCGACTCTAGAGCGACTCTAGTGCGACTCTAGTGCGACCCTAGTGCGACCCTAGTGCGACTCTAGTGCGACTCTAGTGCGACTCTAGTGCGACTCTAGTGCGACTCTAGTGCGACTCTAGAGCGACTCTAGTGCGACTCTAGTGCGACTCTAGTGCGACTCTAGTGCGACTCTAGTGCGACTCTAGTGCGACTCTAGTGCGACTCTAGAGCGACTCTAGTGCGACTCTAGTGCGACTCTAGTGCGACTCTAGTGCGACTCTAGAGCGACTAGTGCGACTCTAGAGCGACTCTAGTGCGACTCTAGTGCGACTCTAGTGCGACTCTAGTGCGACTCTAGTGCGACTCTAGTGCGACTCTAGTGCGACTCTAGTGCGACTCTAGTGCGACTCTAGTGCGACTCTAGTGCGACTCTAGAGCGACTCTAGAGCGACTCTAGAGCGACTCTAGTGCGACTCTAGTGCGACTCTAGTGCGACTCTAGTGCGACTCTAGTGCGACTCTAGTGCGACTCTAGTGCGACTCTAGTGCGACTCTAGAGCGACTAGTGCGACTCTAGAGCGACTCTAGTGCGACTCTAGTGCGACTCCATTTTTATAAATATTTTGCTTTTCCAGTTCTCATTATTTGTTGGTCCTTTTTACTTTATATTTGTATCTATATTTTCCACAGATGTTTCCCGTGTCTCACCTCGTTCTCCTGAGCGCTGCCGACCACAAAGAAGAACAGGTCAATGCTGCTTTTGTACACAATGGTCAGACCTTCCAGGAACGCTATCTCATCTGAAACACCAGAAACACTCAGACCAGACCGGGGAGAGACCAGGGGGAGACCAGGTGAGAGACCAGGGAGAGACCAGGGGGAGACCAGGTGAGAGACCAGGGAGAGACCAGGGGGAGACCAGGGGGAGACCAGGGGGAGACCAGGGGGAGACCAGGGGGAAGACCGATAAATGATACAGTGACAGGAGAAAGAGTAAAGTAACCGGACCCTAACTAGACCCAGGCCCTTCTTTAGTCCCTCTTTGTCCTGGTCCTATCCAGGCCGAGCTGGTGCTAAAGTGTTCTAACTGGAATTTCCACAGGGACCTGCCCCCACTGTTGGTTGCTCGGATACAGTACCAGATACTAAAGCGTAATAGAGCAGAGTATGGCCAAGTAGGGCTAGTGGAAACAGGGTCAAGGAACTAGGAGAGGAGCTGGTCTGTAGCTGGTCTGTAGCTGGTCTGCAGCTGGTCTGCAACTGGTCTGCAACTGGTCTGTGCAGATGGTCTGTGCAGATGTGAACCATGTGGACTTACTGTCTGCTTTGTGCGTCTTGTTGAAAACATTCTTCTCAAAGTTCTTCTGCTCCTTCATGGACGGGTACAGCTCCAGGTCGTAGTACTGCCACAGGGATCACAGGTACAGGTTATAGACCAGGGACACACAGGTACAGGTTATAGACCAGGGACACACAGGTACAGGTTATAGACCAGGGACACACAGGTACAGGTTATAGACCAGGGACACACAGGTACAGGTTATAGACCAGGGACACACAGGTACAGGTTATACACCAGGGACACACAGGTACAGGTTATAGACCAGGGACACACAGGTACAGGTTATAGACCAGGGACACACAGGTACAGGTTATAGACCAGGGACACACAGGTACAGGTTATACACCAGGGACACACAGGTACAGGTTATACACCAGGGACACACAGGTACAGGTTATACACCAGGGACACACAGGTACAGGTTATAGACCAGGGACACAGGTACAGGTTATAGATCAGGGACACAGGTACAGGTTATAGACCAGGGACACAGGTACAAAGGTGCATGTTTAAGATCAAGGTGGAAATGTTGTCATAATTAAATAATAAGAACAAACTTTCTCAGATTTTCTGTTTTTGTTCTGAGCGTGTGATGCTCAGAGCAGCCACAGGGGGCAGTGGTGTCTCAGGTGTAAATATTCTGTCACTGAAAAGGTGTGAGAGAAACAACTATAACATCAACTATATCCTATATGGTCCCTTTGATCCCCTCTGATCCCTGTGGCCCCTGTGGTTCCCTCAGTCCCTCTAGTCCCTGTGGTGATAGTAGTCCCTTTAGTCTCTCTGGTCCCTGCCTGTGGTCCCTCCGAGTCCCTGCCTGTGGTCCCTCCGAGTCCCTGCCTGTGGTCCCTCCGAGTCCTTGCCTGTGGTCCCTCCGAGTCCCTGCCTGTGGTCCCTCCGAGTCCCTGCCTGTGGTCCCTCCGAGTCCCTGCCTGTGGTCCCTCCGAGTCCCTGCCTGTGGTCCCTCCGAGTCCCTGCCTGTGGTCCCTCTGAGTCCCTGCCTGTGGTCCCTCTGAGTCCCTGCCTGTGGTCCCTCTGAGTCCCTGCCTGTGGTCTCTCTGGTCCCTGTGGTCTCTCTGGTCCCTGTGGTCTCTCTGGTCCCTGTGGTCTCTCTGGTCCCTGTGGTCTCTCTGGTCCCTGTGGTCTCTCTGGTCCCAGTGGTCCGTACCTTGGACAGCAGTCTGTTTCCGTCGTTATCCAGGATGAAGAGGGCCTTCACTGTGTAGAGAGAGGGCTCCTGCAACAGAAGGAATCAAGAACCATGTCAGTCTGAGGACCATGTCAGTCTGAGGACCATGTGGGTCTGAACTGAAAAAGACCAACTATCTTTCAATACGATTTATTTTTGTATCGCCCTAAAACAGTAGTTGCCTCAAAGGACTGAGGCCGTAGATCCAGGACTGAGGCCGTAGATCCAGGACTGAGACCCAGAGAAAAACTGGCTCCAGATTTGAAAACAGAGTTTTGTTCATTTTGTTCTGGGATCAAACACTGCGATGGGCCCCCGACCGCGGGGCCTTTCCCACACCAGGGGCCCCCACGCCCTGTGTCCCACTTGTCAGACCGGTTTTCAAAGACCCGGGGGTGAAACCTGAACCTGGGATCCCGCCATCTGACACATAAAGCCAGACTCCGGACCACAGATCAGGGTCTAGACTTGAGGTGCAGAGTCAGGACAACAGACGAGGGACGAGACTGGAGGTGCAGAGTCCGGACTAAACCCCAGGGACTAGACTGGAGGTCCAGAGCAGACGGGAGCCGAGCCGGACCAAAGTTCTGTTATGCACTGACTTGTTTAGACCCACAGTCAGAGTGTATCACAGAACTTAGACCAGGGCCGAGACCAGGATCGAGACCAGGATCGAGACCAGGATCGAGACCAGGACCGAGACCAGGACCGAGACCAGGACCGAGATTGGATCTATTTAAAACCAATAACAATTTCTATGTATTTTTCCGATTATCAACAAACAATACAAAAGTTATTATAAAAATCTAATTTAATCATTAAAATATATGAATCCAAACTCCTCCAGCTTTAGTATGTAGTACCGTATCCTAGCAACCGACCCACAACAAACCAGTATCCGGGGATATTATGTGGTAACCATGGTTTCCAGCAGCACTCAGCCAATCAGAGCTCTACTCTACTCTACTCTACTCTACTCTACTCTACTCTACTCTACTCTACTCTACTCTACTCTACTCTACTCTACTCTACTCTACTCTAACCGAGTTAAAGACGATCCAGGACATCAATGGCTCCTGGGAGTTTGTTATTATTGTTTTTCCTTTTCTGTCGTAAAGTTCTTTGAGACGACTGCTGTTGTGATTTAGAGCGATATACAAATAAAAGTAATAAAACTTAGTGTGGTGGGTAAGTACGGAGAAAAGGGGCGGGGATGGGTGGAAGGTGACAACAGACATTTGCAGAGACCAAAGAAGACAGTACAGGATCACACACATGCAAGAATCAATATCAAAGAAATAAGTGATTAAACAGAACAGTTAGGAAAAATGTTGCATGATACGTCTTCTTTAAACTAAAAATAAAACTTAGAAATTGAGGTATTCTGTCGCAGATTTGAAATGGTTGATTTTGAGAAACACTTTTTGGGCGAAAAAGGTGCAAAAACACATAGTTATGGATAATGCTAATGTGGTCGTTTTCAGGTTGGGCCTCCCGAGGTTTCTCACTTCTCTCCCACTGGGTCTAAGACTTGTTCCTCTGATGCAGGAGGCTTAAGGACAGAGAGGATCCAGGACTCTGGCCTTTGCTCCTTTTGGACCAATGTCTCTGAGGATTTTTATCTTTGCATTTCTTGTGTTTGATTTTCTGATCTGTGTTGGCAAATCATGAAGGCGTCCGAGAAAACTACTGTTGTGATTTAGAGCGATACAAAATTTTATTTTATTTGAAATGGGAAGGTTCTGGGTTATTAAATAAATCCCAAAATAACTATGTATTTTGAATGAGAGAGAGAGAGAGAGAGAGACCAGAGAGAGAGACCAGAGAGAGAAACCAGAGAGAGAGACCAGAGAGAGAAACCAGAGAGAGAGACCAGAGAGAGAGACCAGAGAGAGACCAGAGAGAGTCTTATGTTGTGAAGTTCATGGAAGTAAATCAAAAAAATCCAAAGTGTCACATTGATCTTTAACAAAGTCTGAAATATGTCACGTAAAGATGTTTGCAGTGAGAGAACCACCCACCTCCCCCGTCCTCCCCCGTCCTCCCCCGTCCTCCCCCGTCCTCCCCCGTCCTCCCCCGTCCTCCCCCGTCCTCCCACATTCTCCCACATTCTCCCCCGTCCTCCCACATTGCTGTCACGCACACCCAAAGTAGGTGAAGTGTCTTGCCCAAGGACAAACTGAATGAATGGAGGAGGTGGAACTGAACACCAGCTGTACCTGTGCTCCGCCCTGTGGAACAAATGAGAGAAACTGTGTCTTTGGGAAGATCACAGGATCACAGAAGATCACTATACGTTATAATTCACAACCATCTGCGGCGCGCTAATTAGCATGATTAGCATGATTAGCATGTGCGTGTGGCGGCCGCAGTAGGATGTGTGTGGAGGGAGAATACTTTGTACCATTACTGCGACATAGGTACAGGTACTTCCCATCGTACTTCTACTTCAACCTGATATCAACTAAGCTTATGGCAAGATTCAGAAAGGGCTTAGACAGAGAGAGAGAGAGACCAGGGAGAGAGCCCAGAGAGAGAGAGGCCAGAGAGAGAGGCCAGAGAGAGAGAGACCAGAGACCAGAGAGAGAGGCCAGAGAGAGAGAGACCAGAGACCAGAGAGAGAGGCCAGAGAGAGAGAGACCAGAGAGAAAGAGAGACCAGAGAGAGAGCCCAGAGAGAGACCAGAGAGAGACCAGAGAGAGAGAGAGAGAGGCTAGAGAGAGAGGCCAGAGACCAGAGAGAGAGAGGGACCAGAGAGAGAGAGACCAGAGAGAGAGACCAGAGAGAGAGAGAGACCAGAGAGAGAGGCCAGAGACCAGGGAGAGAGCCCAGAGAGAGACCAGAGAGAGAGAGAGGCTAGAGAGAGAGGCCAGAGACCAGAGAGAGAGAGGGACCAGAGAGAGAGAGACCAGAGAGAGAGACCAGAGAGAGAGAGAGACCAGAGAGAGAGGCCAGAGAGAGAGAGAGAGGCTAGAGAGAGAGGCCAGAGAGAGAGAGGCCAGAGACCAGAGAGAGAGCCCAGAGAGAGAGCCCAGAGAGAGAGAGAGAGACCAGAGAGAGAGACGCAAGAGAGAGAGATAGACAAGAGAGAGAGATAGACAAGAGAGAGAGATAGACAAGAGATAGAGATAGACAAGAGAGAGAGATAGACAAGAGAGAGACAAGAGAGAAAGAGACCAGAGGGGGAGAGACCAAAGGGAGAAACCAGCGAGAAGGAAACTACAGGAGAGTCTCAAAAGAGAGTATAGAGATATAACAAAAAAGACAGCCCTGCGAGTCACTATTTGACTCTTTGGGCTGAGAGCTGATTGGTTGAGAGAGGGGGGGTCTCTTTTCCACAGGCCAAAAGCCTCCAGTCTGTTTCCACGGAAGAACTATTTGTGCTTTATAATTTATTGTTAAAGAAGACGTCATATATCAATCAAGGTCAAAAAATCGAGTCCTGCCGCGTCACTCTGAGCTCAGCCCATTCGCAGCGAAAACGAGGTCACATCGAAGGCCCCACAGGCTCCGCTCAGACCAGAAAAACAACTGTAACAAGGTCAAAAGTTTTTTGATAGTTCTATAGAAATGTTATGCTTTTGTCCTGCGTGGAACAAACAACACTTAAAATAAAAATCTCTATTTGAACTTTTTCCGTGCCCCCCCCCTGTCCCCCCTGTCCCCCCTGTCCCCCCTGTCCCCCCCCACTCACCCACTCTCACCATTTCTAACGCACGCCTCTGCACGAAATACTTGCGCAAATATTTGTACAGTCAGCAGCTCAAACACAATTACGATTAAAATAAGTAGCAAAAATGTACTCTCTTTTGCTACAGCTAATTATCAACCACAATTCTTCACTTTTCTTTCATCCAAGTCGTAAAATTTTAAGATTAATCCAACATTATAACGAATTAAAACAGCAATTATAATGTTAGTCAGTGCGCATTCAGAACGGGTACGAGTAGAATTAAGTATAAAACAGCCTAAACTGTGGGTGCTCTTGCCTTGGAGCAGTGGGAACGCGAGCAGACGGTGAGAGAGAACGGTGGACGTGGCACCTACTCCGCTCAACACGTCAACCACGCGTCCATATGTCTGCGCTCCGTGTGCGTATAACTTCACCGTGTTATGGCTTTGGCTGTGGCTCCTAAACCTCCAAACCCGCGCACATTACACCGGACACACGCGTATAGCTTTACTCACATTATAAGTTTGTTCTCCAAATTTGCATCCCCCCCCCCTCCTCCTCCTCCTCCCCACACTCACAGCTTTCCTGAACGTGCGTAACAGCTGTGACTCCAACCAGTGCATCGTCCACGTAATAAAACTCAGTGTTTTCAAAGTGTGCAATCTGTCTGGGAATTGGGCTCAGAAAGTGCAATGATAAAAAGTAGTTTGTTGACATAGTGCATGCAAAGCGACTGTGTGCTATAGGCCTGTGCGTAAAGACACATCGACGCGCGCTCCAATGCGTAAAAACTAGCAATAACATGGTTCTCACGGCGTTGTTTGACACGTTTGAACATTGCTACTGTTTCCCCAGATAATCAGATAAAAGAATAAGCGGATTAAGACAGCAGCGTGAAGTAAAACTCAAAAACTGCTCGTCTACATGCCCCAAGTATTTGTGCGTAAAAGCGAAGCGTTTCGGACGTGGAGAGGTGCGTCCGTGCGCCGTGGAGGCTCCGTGGACGCACCGGGAGAGCTCACCGGAGACGTGGAGTCCATGGCCGGGGCTGAGGGTGCTGCTGCTGCTCGCTGTGTTGACGTGGACAGTTGTGAGCTGTCACACGGAGCGAGGAGGCTTTTTCTGCCCCTCGCTGTAGCCGCTAGGGGCGCTCTACAGTCGACGTGTCCGCGGTCAAGCGAGTGGAGGATGGAGGATATGTTCACAATAAAAGGGGTATTTCTCCCACAACATGTATGAACATTTATCAAAATTCATGGACATTGTTCTCTCCCTATGAACCAACACATATGTATTTTCTGTGTCTTAACTGTTGATTCTCTGATCTGTGATTTCAATGGTTTTGTTAAGTCTCTGAGATGATGCTGCTGTGATTCAGGGAAATACAAGCATACATTGTTTTGTAGCGTATTCTGTTTGGTTATTTAATTGTTTTTGTCAATGTGCTTTAACATAATTTTGTGTTAAGTATATGTATTGTAATGTCTATAATTGTTTGTAAAATAAATTCAACTAAAATAAAAGGGGGATTTTAGTCATTAACCATGCTTCTAAGTTCATGAATTGTTTCATTGTGGTTAGCCATGGGTCCATGTTCATTCATTCAGCACGGGTCCATGCTTTATTGCCATGACATGACTTTGTGTCACGAGCACTAACTTGACTTCCGGTTCCGGTACACGCGCCTCCTCCCCCCCCCCCCCCCCCCCTCTCCTCGCTCCCTCCTCACTCACGCGCTCCCGGCCGTGGTGCATTGTGGTAAAGCGAGTCTTTTCCCGTGCGAAAAGATGGCAGTAGGCGTGCGGCATGGATGTATTATATTAACTGGATAGGGTATTGCTAGCTTATAGCTGAATAACCCATGTGCTCAGGGGATTCTCGCGGTACTGCAGACTAGACCAGACTAAATTCACGTGGGCCACCCAGAAATTTTTCCCATAGAACTCAATGCAAATTAAAACAGCTCGACCTCAGCTGACAGAGAACCTACAGCTTTCATTAAGGTCGGATTTTGTGGGGATTTTAGTGCCCCTTGTCATCCTGAACTTTTTTTCTTTTTAAATCAATAGGTTTTCTTTTAATCTTCACTTTAGTGCAACAAACTCTGCTCTCTTTTTCCCGCTCTTCCGCCGCTCTAGCATCCGCAGCTCGCTGATTGGTCAAGACGTTGCCAAGCCCCTCTGCTCGCGTGCATGAGAACCATACGAGCGTGCGTTCCTCGCGTGAACGCGCTCCATTCGGCTCTGTTGATGACAGAGGAGCGAGGGAGGAAACTGAACCGAACTGACCAGATAAACACGAAATGTACATTGACAGCATTGTTGTGGTTATTGTTAGCTTCATTAAGAGTCTATGTATGGTCTTTCCTACAGCGTTTGGAGTCGTGTGAATTCGTATGACAGTCATTTATACCAATATGAGTACAATAAACATAGCTATTGACTTTACAGCGTCCATATCAAAACCGAACTCAAACTTGCCTGGCCTGCCAGACACTCCTCCTTTCTGTTCAAAAGAAGAACCGTCTGGACACCTCTTCCTAGCCTATCATTTCACGATTTTACCCACATCGGTCCAATCACGCACCGAGAGGCGGGACTTCCTTTCACCTTTGAGTTGCTAATAACTCCTCGTATCTTTAAGTTTTTGTTACAAAATCGACAACAGTCGTTTACATTTGCACTAGCTGACATGCCGCCATCCCTTGTTTTGTGTTTACTGAAACGGCTTGGGTGCCGCTAGTTGCTGCGTCATATCCTGTGTGCATCTAATTGGTTGATGCAGTCTGTCAACCACGCCCACCGGGAATTCGCTGAGATCAAGCTCGTTCCCAGACTATATGTCTTTGAAAAAGCATATCGTTTGGCAGGCCAGGCAAAACTCAAACGTGATGATTACACAAGAGCTGGCGAGAGAGTTTAGGTATTCACCATGAATGTTGTAACCCTGCCAGTCAAAGGCAGCACAGACACACACATTTTAAGTAAATGCATTCATGTTTTGCTGTAATACATGTGGCAAGTGCTAATGCAGATTAGGATTCACATTGTAATTTAAAATAAATAAATTTTGTTGCTTAGTTCGATCGCCCTTCAGTTTTCTACTCATGGTCATTGTAAATCAAAAATGTACAAATCTCATCTTAATTACATAAAATCGAAACATATTTAACAACAACAAATGCAACTTGTTTTTTATAATTTAATTTGAAAATATAAATATGATAACTTATAAATAAATACACAGTAACATAATTTCCAGAGTTAAGCAAATGAAATAGATATACATACTTGAATATCCTATTATAGACAGCTGAAACAAATACGTGGCTTAACTAGTTTTGTTTTATTTAACCAGAAAAGTCCCATTGAGATAAAGAACCCCCTTTTCAAGGGAGTCCTGAATATATACTCTACCGTTCAAAAGTTTGGGGTCACATTGAATTGTCCTCAATGTTGAAGGAAAAGCTGTAGATAACTTTAAACTAGTCTTAACTGTAAAGAAATACACTCTGTACACTGCTTATGTGGTAAATGACTGCTGTTCTAGCTGCAAATGTCTGGTTTTTGGTGCAATGTTGTAATTGCTGCAAATGGAGGATTCTTTGACAAAAGCAAAGTTGGATGTAAAACAAATCTTATTTCTAATACAAATCATTATTTCTAACGTTGTCAATGTCTTGACTCTATTTTCTATTCATTTCACAACGTGTGGTGGTGAACAAGTGTGACTTTTCATGGAAAACACACACACACATATATATATATATATACATACATAATGTGTGTGTGTATATAGAGAATAATACTTATTAATTACGTTAATATAATAATTACAATTCACGAGGACAAAAGACTAAATCATAGCTTTTTGATCTATCCACAATGGTCTTAATTATCTTGCAGTACTTGTTAACACATCACTGACATTTTGCTTAAAACACGGCGGCCTACAGGTGAATGCCACAGTATAAGCGTTACGAAAAAGTATATAATCATTGTACATTTAGCTTATCATAAATACTTAGTAGATAATGATTAAGAATCAACAACAAGAAGGCTCTGTCATACTGCTCTACACCATCTTAAAATAATTGATCAATTGTACATATATTTTAATATCAATCTTTACTTAAACAGTGATAGAACTTAATTCGCTCGATTCATGCGCGTTCACGAGTCTGTGGTGCTGCACGCTCCCGCTTGAGGTCCGCGTTCTCGTTGTTCGAGGCACAAAGCATTATGGGAGGTCATCCACTGCGCATAACCGGGAGGACCAGAGGATGCCCAAATACAGGCGATTTTCCCATAGATCTTTGCGAGTTTCAGGCAACTTCCGCTAATCTTTCAGCCCCCATGCCGTCACAAAGCGCCACTGAGCACAACCATTCATTTGAATAGGGCGCCATCTTGGATCGCCGGGGCTTGGCGTGCGGCCGCCACCCCTGAGGACCCTGGAGGACTTCATCCTCTGCTGCCCTCGCTACGCGCTTCCAAACGTGCGGGACGCGGACCGCTGGAACAACCGCGTCATCAACAACCTGCTGTACTACCAGAGCAACTACCTCCTGTGCGCGGGGGCGTGCGTGCTGTGTGCGGGGTGAGTGTGCGAGAGACCCGGGGCCAGTGTCTGTGTGCGGTGTGAGTGTGAGAGAGACCCGGGGGCCAGTGTCTGTGTGCGGGGTGAGTGTGCGAGAGACCCGGGGCCAGTGTCTGTGTGCGGTGTGAGTGTGAGAGAGACCCGGGGGCCAGTGTCTGTGTGCGGGGTGAGTGTGCGAGAGACCCGGGGCCAGTGTCTGTGTGCGGTGTGAGTGTGCGAGAGACCCGGGGCCAGTGTCTGTGTGCGGTGTGAGTGTGAGAGAGACCCGGGGCCAGTGTCTGTGTGCGGGGTGAGTGTGAGAGAGACGCGGGGCCAGTGTCTGTGTGCGGGGTGAGTGTGAGAGAGACGCGGGGCCAGTGTCTGTGTGCGGGGTGAGTGTGAGAGAGACCCGGGGCCAGTGTCTGTGTGCGGGTGTGAGAGAGACCCGGGGGCCAGTGACCAGTGAAGACTGAGGCTGTAGACGCAGGACCGAGGCTGTAGACCAAGGACCGAGGCTGTAGACCCAGGACTGAGGCTGTAGACGCAGGACCGAGGCTGTAGACCAAGGACCGAGGCTGTAGACCCAGGACTGAGGCTGTAGACCCAGGACCGAGGCTGTAGACCCAGGACCGAGGCTGTAGACCCAGGACTGAGGCTGTAGACCCAGGACCGAGGCTGTAGACCCAGGACCGAGGCTGTAGACCCAGGACCGAGGCTGTAGACCCAGGACCGAGGCTGTAGACCCAGGACTGAGGCTGTAGACCCAGGACCGAGGCTGTAGACCCAGGACTGAGGCTGTAGACCCAGGACCGAGGCTGTAGACCCAGGACCGAGGCTGTAGACCCAGGACCAAGGCTGTAGACCCAGGACTGAGGCTGTAGACCAAGGACTGAAGCTGTAGATCCAGGACTGAGGCTTCACCCCACTCCTGGTCCCACTTTAACACATCTGTGCCTCTGCTTAAGCCTCAGCTTGTGCCACAACCTTCCTCCTCCACATCACCCCAAAAGTGGGACTTTTCTCCATGACTATTTCTGAGTATTTCCAGAATGTAATAATTTGTGTGTGACATCACAGAAGATAGAAGAGTTACACTTTACAATGGACAGGTTTTAGTTCAGTCTTGATTAAATATGCTAATGAGAGCGGTATCATTCCCACCGGGCTGAGCTGGGAGCCTCGCCCAGTATTGTGCTGTGACCTCCTTTGGTCCAGAGCCACAATGGGACCGGTCCTGATCCAGGATCTGTTTACACAGGGAGCCTATAGCTGTTAGGCTTAAGTTTTTATTACTATTGAAGGGTGTAACGATATAGAGCTGGCTAAAACAGGAAGCCAAATCTAACCCTACATGCACACTTTAAAGCTGGTGTACCTGTTTTTTAAAGCCCAAAGAAGGGAGCTACAGTATGTATGAAATCCATGGTTCCTGCCTCTTTTCACCGGCGGGGGGCGGGTCCCGGCTCTAAAGGGTCGTGCACTCACATACTTCTGACTCCTTGACATTGGTGTTGGACTCGGAAACAGAATTATTCAACACAAATATGGCGTCTTTTTCCTCTCGCAGCTTTACAGCCTGGTCCTTAAGCCGCTCTTGGTTCAACGCTACGTTCCAGATGCTGTCAATAATGAGGGCAAAGTGATGTCACATAAGTTTCAGCGTCACTACGTTTATATTTACAGTCTTTGGTTTTCACATGTATATAATAGTCGGAATTGGCAAAAATGTGAGGTTTCCATAGTATTGTGATATTAGGGCCACAATTGATGCGGTCGCTGAATCAGACCATTGTGGTGAAGAGGGAGCAGCGTCTGCAGTCAGAGCTGTATCAGACCATTGTGGTGAAGAGGGAGCAGCGTCTGCAGTCAGAGCTGTATCAGACCATTGTGGTGAAGAGGGAGCAGCGTCTGCAGTCAGAGCTGTATCAGACCATTGTGGTGAAGAGGGAGCAGCGTCTGCAGTCAGAGCTGTATCAGACCGTTGTGATAAAGAGGGAGCAGCGTCTGCAGTCAGAGCTGTATCAGACCGTTGTAAAGAGGGAGCAGCGTCTGCAGTCAGAGCTGTATCGGACCGTTGTGGTGAAGAGGAAGCTGAGCCGAAAGACAAAGCTCTCGATTTACCGGTCAATCTTTGTTCCCTCCCTTACCTCTGGTCATGAGGGAGCAGCGTCTGCAGTCAGAGCTCCCCTCCCTCACGTCTGGTCATGAGCTTTGGGTAATGACCGAAAGAACGAGATTGCGGATACAAGCGTCGAAATGATCTGGCAGAGACAGAGTGGCGGCTCCCCTAGAGATAGAGGAGCTCAGTCACATGGGAGGAGCTCGGAGTAGAGCCGCTGCTCCCTTAGAGATAGGGTGAGGAGCTCAGTCACACGGGAGGAGCTCCGAGTAGAGCCGTTGCTTCTTTACGTTGAGGAACCACAACGCCTCGGGGTCCCCCCAGATGAGCTGGAGGAAGTGTGTGTGGAGAGGGAAAAAGAGAGAAACCCCCCTAACCTTCTGTGTCTCTGGTGTGTGTCCTGTGACTCTCTGTTGTGTGTCTGTCAGGGTTGTGCGTCCTGTGACTCTCTGGTGTGTGTCCGTCAGGGTTGTGCGTCCGCTGCAGCTGGCCCTGGGGGTGGTGGTGGTCAGTGTGTGCTTCCTGGGCTTCCTCTTGGCGGTGGAGAACCGGGCTGCTGTGAGGCGCACTCGTAGGAACCACCCGGCGCTGTGTGTCCTGGGCCTGCTGTGTGTGTGCTGCCTCCTGCTGGCGGCGCTGGGGAGTGCGGCCGTCTTCATCCTCGCCGTTGCCACGCCCGTCCTCTGTAAGGCGCCTCGTTAGTCATGTGGATCATAATGACAGAGCGATGTTAGAAAACAATTCTCAGTCTGGAAAGTGTTGCTAAAGGTGGAGAGTAACTAAGTATTTTTAGATACTTTATTGATCCTTGTAGAAAAAATGCAGGTGTCCAGCAACACATAAATACATAATATTGTAGTAAAATGTTTGTTGAAAACAATTTCATAGTAATTAGAAAGAGTACAATCATTTATTTTAACATAATATATCAAACCCTTTTCCCTCGTTCTCAAAAATAAAAAACTGACCACTTACACATCAAAAGAAAAGAGTTTCACATATTCCTGTGGTGATGGTGATAGTTTGTCTGAGCTTTTCCAACGGTAGAAAAGAAAACACCTCCTTTTAATCACTGAAAAAATACATTTTGATTAATCAATTGTCGAATATTAATATAATTAATAATATTCGATCGAGTAAAGTTGCAAAGACCTGAAAACAATTTATTGTTGATGATGTTATTCCAACAATATCTTTTCTAAAATCAGGAGCCAGGTCCTGACCACAAAAGCGAGACAATACTTTCCCAATAACTGTTCATTCTAAACGTTATTAACAAGTGCAACATCACTTTAGGTGCAGCCGCTGTGATGAGCTGCTTCCTCTGGTTGATAGGTCTGAAGTCTACCCCCTGCTCTGGTTCAGAGTGAAATTCTGATCGCTTCAATAGCATTTTTCCACAACAATAATTAGCATTGCTCCAGTGGATTAACTTTGTTGTGACGATCCTCTCCGATGTGTAGCACAAAACTGCTGTGGTTATAATTCTTTAAACAGTGCATACTTCACAGTCTAGGGTTCAATAAAACAAAATGGCCGCTTGTTGACAGCATTGTTGTCGTCCTCAGTGACTCTGGTCCACGCCTCTGTACGTCTGCGGAGCCTGAAGAACAAGATGGAGAACAAGCTGGAGAGCATCGGGCTGAAGAGGACCCCCATGGGCCTGCTGCTGGAGGCGCTGGGCCAGGAGCAGGAGGCCGGCTCCTGAGAGAGGACCAACCAGGACGTGACCAACCAGGACGTGACCAAACAGAAAGTGATCGAAGAACAAGAAGGGACCAACCAGAACAGGCGAGCGTGGGTCCCTTTTACATAGAGACGCTGCAACAATGAAATATCGGATTGGCCTTTCGTTTGTGATGGCAGCTAATGCTACATATGTGGCTAATGCTACGTGTGCGGCTAATGCTACATGTTTGGCTAATGCTACGTGTTCGGCTAATGCTACGTGTGCTTCGCTAACGGAGGAGGATTCTACTCCTTCGTCCAAACCAAACCACACCTGTAGTTTCACTCTCCATTTCTACTGCTGAGTTCCACTGCCCCCTTCTGGCCGGACGCTAGAACTACATTGCTTTCGTGTAGATTCTGTGCACTTCGAATCCGGAGCGGGGTTGTTTTTGCAAATTGCTTCACAGCGTCTCCGTCTAAACGGGACCTTAGACCTCCTGAACCAAGACGTCACCACAGAGAAGGATTTAAAGGCTGTGGGAGTCGTCTGTTTAATCTCTTTGAGCTGTTTGTGCCTTAACCACAAGTTTGTCTTAATGTCAGTATCTGAACCTGAAACCCTGAAGATGGTTCCACTTCGATGACCAGCCTTCGCGGAGTAATAGTAGTTTATTTCTATGGTCATAATACACATTAGATCTTAAAGGAGCAATATGTAAAAATGTGGCCAAAAGTGGTACTGCAGCCTCTCCCACTCTCTCTGACTCAGGTTGCCAGATATGCAGACGAATCCAGCTGGGGGTAGGGTAGGGTAGAGTAGAGTAGAGTAAGAGAGTAGAGTAGAGTAGGGTAGGGTAGGGTAGGGTAGGGTAGAGTAGGGTAGAGTAGAGTAGAGTAAGAGAGTAGAGTAGGGTAGGGTAGGGTAGAGTAGAGTAGAGTAGAGTAGAGTAAGAGAGTAGGGTAGGGTAGGGTAGGGTAGAGTAGAGTAGAGTAAGAGAGTAGAGTAGGGTAGAGTAGAGTAAGAAAGTAGAGTAGGGTAGAGTAGGGTAGGGTAGAGTAGAGTAGAGTAAGAGGGTAGAGTAGGGTAGAGTAGGGTAGGGTAGGGTAGAGTAGAGTAGGATAGAGTAGAGTAGAGTAGGGTAGAGTAGAGTAAGAGAGTAGAGTAGGGTAGAGTAGGGTAGGGTAGAGTAGGGTAGAGTAGGGTAGGGTAGAGTAGGGTAGAGTAGAGTAGAGTAGAGTAGGGTAGAGTAGGGTAGAGTAGGGTAGGGTAGAGTAAGGTAGAGTAGGGTAGGGTAGAGTAGGGTAGAGTAGGGCTGGTTGAAACTGGGCTAAACAGGGCTACATACCTTCCCCTTAATCTTTATACACTTGCACTTTTACCGTTTTTCTTGACAAAGCACAATTAAAACCAGAAGAATTTTACAACGACTGAAGCAACAAACACATATTTTATTGTTATAATGTTTATAATAATGTATTTTATAGAAATGAGGAGAGGAACAAGTGTAGATCAAACCTTTGAGGATCTGTGGAGAAGATTATGAAGAAAGAGGAAAAGGTCAGAGGCTCGGATTCATAAGTAATGTTCATGTTTAATGTTTTTTATATAGCACACTTTACAGACCAAGGTACAGACCCAAAGCACTTTACAAGGTTCAGAGTTCAGATATTGTTCTATTCTCTCTGCACACAAACACACTGGTCCATAAAACCTCCGACCAAACACCATTCCCTCACTCATTACAGTCAGACCTTTTGTGCATGTTTTTTTTGTGGTAGGGGAAACCGGAGCACCTGGAGGAAACCTATGCAGACACTGGGAGGACATGGAAACTCCACACAGAAAGGCCTGGCGGTGGAAACAAACCCAGGACCTTCTTTCTGTGAATCACACGCTCTAACCACTGCGCCACCTACAAATCCTTTATTTCTAGAGGGCAGGGGCGTCCAAACTTTTGAGTATGAGGGCCACAGACTTGTGCAGGGCCCCGCAATCCGGAGTATCGAAGGGTATTGCCGGGATTCGGGCTGTTTTGGACTTTAAATTGGTATAACACGTCCAGAAAGATTCACCTTTCGTGGGTTTGAATCCCAGTCGGAGCAGGGCTTTTCTGTGTGGAGTTTGCATGTTCTCCCCATGTCTGTGTAGGTTTCCTCCGGGTGCTCCGGTTTCCCCTACCACTAAAAACATGCACAATAGGTCTGAATGTAAATGAGAGAGTGAGTGGATGGTGTTGGGTCAGAGGCTTTGATGGTCCAGTGTGTTCTGGACTCGCTTCTGTCATCACCGTGTGTGGAAGGATTGGAACAATATCTGACTCTGAACATTGGAAAGCGCTTTGGGTCTGTACCTTGGTCTGTAAACTGCGCTATATAAATAAACATTGCTTACTTTCTGAGTGGAGTTTGCATGTTCTCCCTGTGCCTGTGTAGGTTTCCTCCGCGTACTCCGGTTTCCCCTACCACTAAAAACATGTCACTAGGTTAAATCCTCCAGCTCTGGTCCTGACCAAGCCGAGCATCAACATCTGGAGATGGGTTCCCGGGCTCTGTTACTACGGCGACCACTGCTCCTGACGTAAGCCTTTGCGGCATCAGGGTCAAATGCAGAGGAGGAATTTCCCTACGGGGATCAATAAAGTGCACCTTTACATTTACACACATTTTGACTGAATGCTTTATTAGCGCCGTTACTAGAATTTTTTGTGACAATCAAAAACAGCGGTCTGTACCAATAAAGTGAACAACTGGGTTCCAGAGGTTCTGAGCTCCGCAATCAGGTCTAATGTGTCTATAATGACTCAGCTGAAGTTGGCTGGATGAAGTCCTATCATTGTGAAGCAGAATTCACCAAGCGTTGGATTGTTCACCCACTGATAGGGAACGTGAGCTGGGATTAGACCGTCGTGAGGCAGGTTAGTTTTACACGACTGATAATGTGTCGTTACAATAGTTGATGACACTGTGTTAATGATCTCAAAGACTAGAGTCAGTTACTGAGGCAGAGGCAGAGGGCCATTAAATGACACTGAGGGCCGCATTTGGCCCCCGGGCCTCAGTTTGCACGTGTCTGCTCTGACCTTTTCCTCAGTGTTCTGTCTTTTATGACTGTTATTTTGTGGGATATTCAAATGCAGGAGTTTTCATTCAAATAAATACATTTCTCTCTCAGTCTCTGTGTCTAAAAATGAAAATAGACTAAATGAGAAAAGAACAAATGTTAATGTGTGGCAGAGGGTTCGTGACCTTCAGTTTTCATTCAGTTCCAAAGTACATTTTACTTATTTATTCAATTAATAATTCAATGTATCTATGTATCGCCCTAAATCACAGCAGTAGTTTCTCTGAGGCCTTTACAGAGCTGTCGATTCTCCAACACAGATCAGAGAATCACACACAGGAAATGCAACGATAACAGTACAGATAAATGTACAGTATATATTTTTACTGTTATTGAAGCATTTACAGGATCTACAGCTAGTTAAGAAACAGCTACTAATTATTTTGTGTGTTCCCTGTGTCTCTTACTTCTGTCCTGTCTGTGCGCTGCAACATTGAAATTTCCCCACTGTGGGACGAATAAAGGATCTCTTATCTTAAAAAACACAGATGTCCTGAGACCCTCCTACATCAGCAAAATGCAGGAAATGTGTATAATTTATTTTTGTAGTCAGCTCAAAGAAAGGTAAAGTATTGTTTGATCAGCTGTAAAGAAAAAAACATTAATAATAATCATGCATGGGTTTTATACAGAGCTTTTTCAGACGCTCAAAGACGCTTCACGTTCATTCACTCAAAAACACAGAGGTGATAAACTACTTCTGTAGCCACAGCTGCCCTGGGGCACTCTGACAGAAGCGAGGCAACCAAGTCCTTGTTTTGTTGGAAAGTCAAATTAAACAATGCATTCACACGGTCTGATGTGTTTGTGTGTCATATATGTATGTGTGTGTGTCATGTGTGTTTGTCATAACCATAGACTGTAAAAATTAACTTCAGGCAATGGGAACCAGCTCCGTGGGTGTTAACCATGGTCTGAACAGTAGGGGGAGCTCTGATGTCCACAAGGCAAAGGAAGACATTTGTGTTTATAAAGCTCCATTCATGCAGAAACAGCCTCTGGAGCTTCACAGACACAGACAGAACATTTAGAAACAATAAAACATTTAAAACATGGTTTTATGATGGTACTCCTGAACCTGGACCTGGTCTCCCCCGAGACTCGTTGGCTGCCCCCCTCCTCATCTTCCTGTCAGACTGGGTCTACAGCCTCAGGCCCTCAGTCCTGGGTCTACAGCCTCAGTCCTGGGTCTACAGCCTCAGTCCTGGATCTACAGCCTCAGTCCTGGGTCTACAGCCTCAGTCCTGGGTCTACAGCTTCAGTCCTGGGTCTACAGCCTCAGTCCTGGGTCTACAGCCTCAGGCCCTCAGTCCTGGGTCTACAGCCTCAGTCCTGGGTCTACAGCCTCAGTCCTGGATCTACAGCCTCAGTCCTGGGTCTACAGCCTCAGTCCTGGGTCTACAGCTTCAGTCCTGGGTGTACAGCCTCACTCCTGGATCTACAGCCCCAGTCCTGGGTCTACAGCCTCAGTCCGGGGTCTACAGCCTCAGTCCTGGGTGTACAGCCTCAGTCCTGGGTCTACAGCCCCAGTCCTGGGTCTACAACCTCAGTCCGGGGGCTACAGCCTCAGTCCTGGGTGTACAGCCTCACTCCTGGATCTACAGCCCCAGTCCTGGGTCTACAGCCTCAGTCCGAGGTCTACAGCCTCAGTCCTGGGTGTACAGCCTCAGTCCTGGGTCTACAGCCCCAGTCCTGGGTCTACAGCCCCAGTCCTGGGTCTACAGCCTCAGTCCTGGATCTACAGCCCCAGTCCGGGGTCTACAGCCTCAGTCCTGGGTCTACAGCCTCAGTCCTGGATCTACAGCCCCAGTCCGGGGTCTACAGCCTCAGTCATGGGTCTACAGTCCTGGGTGTACAGCCTCACTCCTGGATCTACAGCCCCAGTCCTGGGTCTACAGCCTCAGTCCGGGGTCTACAGCCTCAGTCCTGGGTGTACAGCCTCAGTCCTGGGTCTACAGCCCCAGTCCTGGGTCTACAACCTTAGTCCGGGGGCTACAGCCTCAGTCCTGGGTGTACAGCCTCACTCCTGGATCTACAGCCCCAGTCCTGGGTCTACAGCCTCAGTCCGGGGTCTACAGCCTCAGTCCTGGGTGTACAGCCTCAGTCCTGGGTCTACAGCCCCAGTCCTGGGTCTACAGCCCCAGTCCTGGGTCTACAGCCTCAGTCCTGGGTCTACAGCCCCAGTCCTGGGTCTACAGCCCCAGTCCTGGGTCTACAGCCCCAGTCCTGGGTCTACAGCCTCAGTCCTGGATCTACAGCCCCAGTCCGGGGTCTACAGCCTCAGTCCTGGGTGTACAGCCTCAGTCCTGGGTCTACAGCCCCAGTCCTGGGTCTACAGCCCCAGTCCGGGGTCTACAGCCTCAGTCCTGGGTCTACAGCCTCAGTCCTGGATCTACAGCCCCAGTCCGGGGTCTACAGCCTCAGTCCTGGGTCTACAGCCTCAGTCCTGGGTCTACAGCCTCAGTCATGGGTCTACAGTCCCTCCGCCTGTGGGTGTGGAGCCCTCCCTCCCTTTTTGAGTGGCTCCTGCCGATGCTATAGGTGATCATGGACATTCAAAGACATTTATTCACATTTTTGGACAGTGATCGTCCCACTCCTTTTATGGACCAATGGCTTCTATGAGTTTGTAGATATTGTATACCTATACAGTATAATATATATATGTGTGTGTGTGTGTGTGTGTGTGTGTGTGTGTGTGTGTGTGTGTGTGTGTGTGTGTGTGTGTGTATGTGTGTGTGTGTGTGTGTGGCCAAAAGCCGTGTTTAGACCTGAACGCACCTATTGGAATCGTTTTCAATTGTATTGAACGATTGTAGCAGAATGACAAAGTGTTGCTTCACTCTTTTCACTTTTAGCCTGCCATTTAAAGTCATAAAGTCAAATTGAGAAGATAATAAAAATTTAATCTATTTTTAGCCGTAAGTACTATGTTGTAGTACTCCATTGGATTAACACAATTATTATTCAAATCTCCAGAAATCTACACACAGAGAAGTAATCCTTTATCTAAAAGTATCCATGTATCTGATCTTAGCAGTGATAGTAACACTTGTTGCTACATGAAAAGTAACTCAACGCCACGCTGTTTGTTCCACAGCGCACTTTCTGACTGTTGCCTCATAACAGACTGCATCCGAATGTAAACCCTCTCCCTCCTCATCCTTCCTTTCTTTGACCTCCTTACTGCTACAAAACCTTCACTTATTCACATTATACACATGTTCAAACGGTCTAAAATGTCACTTAACTAAGCTCATAGCAAGACTTCCTCATTTAAAGGCCAAAGAAAATCACACAAGTAAGTATGTCAAGAACTTGAAGCAACCGTCGCTACTTCTCTGGCCAGAGGGGGCGGGGTCAGCGCGGTGACGTCACGAGTCTGGTGGACCACCTATAAATACTGCGGCTCTAAACACGAGCTCAGACACAAACAGACTGCGCAGTGGAAGAACCGCCTTTCAGAGACTAAAAGTGGACAAAGGGACTTCCAAACTCTATTTAAAGTCCCTCCTGAGGCTCCCAAGGTAAGTCTGAGTCATACACCAAATATTATGAGTGATCATTTATTGAAAAGTGTGTTTATTTAGGCTAGGAATGCTATTAAGCTAGCTCTGTATGATTATGTAGTCAACCAGTCAATAACAACAGCAACATTTATAATTTATGTTTGGACAGTTACAGACCTCAAACCAAGTAATAATTGCACACGTAGAATATATAAAATGTGCTATAATCCCTATAGATTACTTAATAATTGTGTCTGTAACTATAATATATATAATTGGCTTGATACAGAGTTGTCATAATACCTTTGATGTGTTAGATCAGGCCTGTCAACTCATTTAGGTCAGATTTTAAAAAGTAACAGCGGGTCTGGTCTCTTTATTTTTCATAATGAAGGCAATTCGACAGATTACAGAATCAGAGTGTTCTGTAACTGCTGATGCAACACTGACATTTCCACAGAATAAAGAATCTCTTCATCTTTAACTTCGTTTAAATAACATGAGTTTGCTGTGGATTTTATGGAGCAAAACAATTTTAGTTTCACTTTGTGTTTCAGAAGTTGATGACTCTTAATTTTTTAAATGTGATCAAATCTAATCACATGTTTTCACCACAACATGTAAGTACTTAGTTACTTATAATGAGGTATAACATGCCATGGCCCATGATCACATAACACCGTGAGTAATGCAAGTTAATAAACATTTAACAGCTGTTCAGAATGTGGCCGTAGATTATAAGAGTTACTCACATTTGTGTTTGTTTGTTTACAATAACATGTAAAAAGTCTCTTCAATTGTGTTAAATGAATAAATTACAGTATACAGGATTTTAATCTCACAGTGTTTCCCACACATAGACTAATCTGTGGCGCACCGCCACAGATTAGAGACCGCCCGCCACAAATTGCGTTTCGTATTATTATATATATATTTTTTTTGTTACGCTATTTAAAACATGCATCGTCTAGTGCCGCTGCAGCGGTCAATTTGACAGCGGGGAGGGGGGTTTAAAATGTGGCGGCCCTTCGTAACTCTCACTCAAGCTACGCGTCTCTCCCACATACAGAGACCTACACACACACAGCCCCTCCCCTTCGTGCACACCGCGTGTCTCCGTCTCCATCAGCGATCATCGCTGTAAGCAGCTGTGTCTATTAATTTACCGCGGTAAAGTGGCCCGCATCTTTCAGCTCTATGAACATGCGGCCCGCATCGGGGAAAAGACGGTGCGCGTTTTGTTGAGAACTTACGGTAACAGCGGAACGTCCTTTCGGAGTCACCCATTTTTATCGAACAGAAAGCGCGCTGGGGTCTGGGAGACACGTTTTTGTGATTAAAACCTTATAGAGATGCCACCCGGCACACATAGCACCAGCCCCCTACGATTCCTCCGGCAGATTGTGAGTCCTCAGGAGGATAGCCACTCTATTGTTTACATATATAAAGTACACAATTTGGTCCGCTAGTGCAATTTTCAAGTATTGTAACTATTTACTGGAATAAGGTGTGCGACTAATTTCACTTGACTCATGACCTTATTATTGCCCTCTGCCACTGTACCAAAGACCAGAAACTTTTACTGTAGAAATATTGAGAAATATTGAGGTAAAGTAGCCATTTTTGGTCCAAAATACCTCCAAAATAGTCAAAACATGTCACTTTTGATCTACTGTAACTTTTTACTGTAAAAAGGTGTGCGACTAATTTCACTGGATTCACGACCTCATGATTGCCCTCTACCACTGTACCAAAGACCAGAAACTTTTACTGTAGAAATATTGATTTAAAGCAGCCATTTTGGTCCAAAATAGCCTAAAAATTGTCAAAACATGTCACTTTTGATCTGCTTTTGATCTGCTGTAACTTACTGTAAAAAGGTGTGCGACTAATTTCACTGGATTCATGACCCCCCCCCCCCGCCGACGACCACCACACATTGCCTTCAAACCTGTGGGAAACACTGTCTCATGTGTTTACGTACGCATCAGTAACAACAGATGAATGATGCTGGTCCCGTGTTACAGACGTGTTATAGATGAACATAAAAATATACATTTGATCTTAATATGAATATTTAATTTTTCATGAAATCGAAAGTGTTTTTCCAACATTTCATTTTCACTTTGCAGCGTTCTGAATGAAATATGATCTGTGTGAGGTTGTGTGTGTGTGTGTGTGCGTGTGAGGTTGTGTGTGTGTGTCTGTGTGTGTGTGCGTGTGAGGTTGTGTGTGTGTGTGTGTGTGTGTGCGTGTGTGTGCGCCTGAGGGTGTGTGTGTGACTGTGCGTGTGTGTGTGTGTGTACGTGAGGGTGTGTGTGTGTGTCTGTATGTGTGTGTGTGTGTGTGTGTGTGACTGTGTGTGTGTGTGTGTGTGCGTGTGTGTGTGTGTGCGCCTGAGGGTGTGTGTGTGTGTGCGCCTGAGGGTGTGTGTGACTGTGTGTGCGTGTGTGTGAGACTGTGTGTAGCACACAGCACAAGATAAAAAACAATAACTCTGTACTAACATAAAATCGTTCAGTACAGTATAGTACAGTACAGTATAGTACAGTATAGTATAGTACAGTATAGTACAGTACAGTATAGTATAGTACAGTACAGTATAGTACAGTATAGTATAGTACAGTATAGTATAGTTAAGTATAGTTTAGTACAGTATAGTATAGTACAGTATAGTATAGTATAGTTAAGTATAGTACAGTATAGTATAGTACAGTATAGTATAGTACAGTACAGTATAGTATAGTATAGTACAGTATAGTATAGTTAAGTATAGTACAGTATAGTATAGTACAGTATAGTATAGTTAAGTATAGTATAGTACAGTACAGTATAGTATAGTACAGTCTAGTACAGTCTAGTACAGCATAGTATAGTACAGTATAGTACAGTATAGTATAGTTAAGTATAGTATAGTACAGTATAGTATAGTACAGTATAGTATAGTTAAGTATAGTATAGTACAGTACAGTATAGTATAGTTAAGTATAGTATAGTACAGTATAGTATAGTAAAGTGTAGTATAGTATAGTTAAGTATAGTACAGTATAGTACAGTACAGTATAGTATAGTACAGTATAGTATAGTACAGTATAGTACAGTACAGTATAGTATAGTACAGTATAGTTAAGTATAGTAAAGTATAGTATAGTTAAGTATAGTATAGTACAGTATAGTATAGTTAAGTATAGTACAGTATAGTACAGTACAGTACAGTACAGTATAGTATAGTTAAGTATAGTACAGTATAGTATAGTACAGTATAGTACAGTATAGTATAGTACAGTATAGTATAGTACAGTCTAGTACAGTCTAGTACAGCATAGTATAGTACAGTATAGTATAGTACAGTATAGTATAGTACAGTACAGTATAGTATAGTTAAGTACAGTATAGTATAGTATAGTTAAGTATAGTACAGTATAGTACAGTACAGTACAGTATAGTACAGTACAGTACAGTATAGTACAGTACAGTACAGTACAGTATAGTATAGTACAGTACAGTATAGTATAGTTAAGTATAGTATAGTACAGTATAGTATAGTATAGTTAAGTATAGTACAGTATAGTACAGTACAGTATAGTACAGTACAGTATAGTATAGTACAGTACAGTATAGTATAGTACAGTACAGTATAGTATAGTACAATATAGTACAGTACAGTATAGTATAGTTAAGTATAGTACAGTATACAATTTCAGATTAAATGTGAATTTTACCTTTAACTCCTTTAATTTTAATGTAAACGTCTAATGTTGCACTTTCTGGTCGCTTGGTAACCAACTTTGGCAGTTCCCATAGCAACACACTGTTTACTGACAGTGACAACAGGTGTGTATAGTGGTTTTTCCTGTATTATTCACTAGTTTTATCACTAAGAGTGAGTGAAGGTATTGAACCTATAATTACTTTGGATAAATCTGGTGGAAATCAAAACTTTATGTAGGGAGAATTTCCAGGATTGCATTGGTTTGAATGGCAGCAGTCAAAATGACAGCTCTGTGAGTCTGTGGTGTTGTTCTGGATCAAGGCCCGGTCCACGTCTCCCAGTATTAAAGGGGACATGTTAAAACATTGTTCCTTCGTAAGAAAAAACAGTCCTGGAGTTGTCTTTAGATCCACCCACGCTGATAACAAGTGTAAAGTGCTTTGTGACTGTGGTCTGTGAAAATAAATAACTTCCTCTGAACCCTCTGAACAAAAGAGCATCGTTAAAAACCAGAAGTTAGACATTAACTTTAACTTTGAACAGACTCTGAGCCTGGAATAAATGATCCTTAAGTGACATCATTATCAGCTCATTCTTGGTCTTCATAACTTTGTAGTTTTATTTCTTTTGTTTTTCTGAAATGTGAGTAAATCTACCCGTAACTCCCACAGCCGCCATTTTGACTGCTCCATTATTTTGAAAGTAAATGCTTTCTTTCCACAGCAGCTAAAGTCCTTTTCTCAAGGTGCTGGTTTGGTTTTCCACCAGAGAAAAGCATGTGCTAGTTACCATAGCAACACACTGTTTACTGTTAGCCGTTAGCGTTTGGTCGTTGTATTCTAAATTACTGTATAATCAACTGATTTAGCACGTATTAGAAGTGAGTAAACACCTTATACATTTCTTACTTTTATTACATTTGGAGACAACTTTTATGGGTAATTTCTCAGAACTCCTTTGGTTTGAATGGCAGCAGTCAAAATGACGGCTCTGGGAGTTGTAGTAGTTTCATAGGAGTCCTAGTGTTTCATGGATACAACAGAATACAACAAACAACACAAGGAAGTGACCGGGACCAAAGTCCCTCTGGTTTGGTGCTGTTTGATCAAAGGGGGAGGAGTCAGAGAGGGAGTAGTCCGGGTGGAGGAGTCAGAGGGGGAGGAGTCAGGGTAGAGGACTCAGAGGGGGAGGAGTCAGAGGGGGTTCCCAGTCTCAGTTACATCATGAGGAATGACTCAGATAGATAGATAGTCATGATGATCGTACAAACCCAGTATTATATAATTTTTAGCCAATGTTTAAAGTTTCTGAAATATCTGCCTTATTATGAGACAACTAGAACTCACAGAGCAGTCATTTTGACTGCTTGACTAAAAAAAATGAAATTATGAAATTGTTACTTTTATTGAAATTAAGTTTTTATCTTTTATCCATCCTAAAACTGGTCAATATTCATGAAATACAGCAAAACTGAATGCTAACTGCTGCTGTCCCTGGATCACAGAGATAAAAACAGATGGATGTTTGTCTAAGCGGCCGCTTTGTCTTTTGTCTCTCTCTTATCAGGCCAAAGCAGAGAGTCCTCAGACCTCCCGGACCAGAGAGAGTCCTCAGACCTCCCGGACCAGAGAGAGTCCTCAGACCTCCCGGACCAGAGAGAGTCCTCAGACCTCCCGGACCAGAGAGAGTCCTCAGACCTCCCGGACCAGAGAGAGTCCTCAGACCTCCCGGACCAGAGAGAGTCCTCAGACCTCCCGGACCAGAGAGAGTCCTCAGACCTCCCAGACCAGAGAGGGCCCTCTGACCTCCCAGACCAGAGAGGGCCCTTTAACCTCCCGGACCAGAGAGGGCCCTTTGACCTCCCGGACCAGAGAGGGCCCTCTGACCTCCCGGACCAGAGAGGGCCCTTTGACCTCCCGGACCAGAGAGGGTGCTCAGACCTCCCGGACCAGAGAGGGCCCTTTGACCTCCCGGACCAGAGAGGGCCCTCTGACCTCCCGGACCAGAGAGGGCCCTTTGACCTCCCGGACCAGAGAGGGTGCTCAGACCTCCCGGACCAGAGAGGGCCCTTTGACCTCCCGGACCAGAGCAGCATGCAGCCGCAGAAGAAGCCACGGCTGCCAGAGGGGCTGATCCAGGCCGCCCTCCTGCTGAGCTTGTGTGGGTTGAAGCTGGATGTGGGTCTGGAGCCGGGGCCCGAGAGCCTCCTCCAGGGGCCCACACACACACACTTACACAACCTTCGCAACGCACTAGAGAGGGACCCTGCGGCCAAACACCCCGACCTGGACAGCTTCTTCACCTCCAGACGCCTGCTGGGATGGGTGCGCTCACTGGATCGCCTGCAGGTGAGGAGGAGGACTGCATGTGGACCACAGACTGTAAATGCAGAATCTGAATCTGAGTTGTTACAGAAAGGATGATAACAATACTAGGGCTGGGAATTGGCAAAAATGTAATGATTTGATAGTATTGCGATTCTTAACATGTCGCGATACAGACAGGATGTGATTCTGTGATATACTGTGATCCATGATGTGACACTTGTCATGTCAGGACGGCACTTATGAGGATGTTAGGAGGAACAAAGTTACGCAGAGGCAGCTTCCAGTGCAGATCCGGTGAAGGTTTATTTACATTATTTACATTTTTGTGTTAAAATCAGGACAGCATGTCCACCAGCACTCCTCCTGCTCAGAGTTGGTGGCCTGCTTTTATAGCAGGTGACAGTAATTAGGCCACACCCACTGAAGCTCAAAATCCACAAAATACAAAAAAATACAGCAATAATTAAAGCCGTGAATCTATCCTCTAAAAATTACATCTCTTTATTAATTTAGCAGTGATTTATTCTACAATATTACTAAATAAGAAAAATAAAAGCCAGGACACCCCTCCTCTCTGCAGAGTGGATGCACCCGGAACCCTCTTTGCATTAAAACTCAATCTTTAATAAACTTTCTTCAAAACATTTGAGTGTCTCATTCCCCTCACCTGTGAACACCTATAGTAATGGACTCTGCTCCATTACATTTCCTCCCCCCTCTCTTAAGGGTGCAGTACTTCTAAATTTCATGAACCCTAGAGAGAGCATCAGCAACTGTATTGCACTTGCCGGCCTTGTAGTAAACAGTGAAGTTATACGGCTGTAGCGCCAGGTACCACCCAGTAATTCTGGTGTTTGAGTCTTTCATCTTGTGGAGCCACTGAAGAGCACGGTGGTCAGTTTCCAAGCTGAAGTGACGCCCCATCAAGTAGTACCTCAGCGACTCAATTGCCCACTTCATGGCCAAGCACTCTTTCTCTACTGTTGAATACCTTGTCTCTCTGTCCAGCAGTTTTCTACTTAAAAAAGCCACTGGTCTCCTCTCTCCATCCACCTCCTGCAGCAAAACTCCCCCCAGACCTACTCCTGATGCATCAGTTTGTAGAATGAAGGGTTGGTTGAAATCAGGGGTTTGCAGTACTGTGTGCTCATTAATTGACTCTTTGAGATCTCTGAAAGCCTGGTCACAACGATCACTCCATCTCACCTTTCTTGGGGCCGTGGCTTTGGTGAGATCATGAAGAACAGCCGAGCGATCTGAAAAGTGAGGAACAAATTTTCTGTACCAGCCCACCAGACCGAGGAAACTCTTTACTTTCTTCTTTGTTGTGGGGACGGGGAACGAATGGATTGCCTCCATTTTCCCCACCTGTGGTCGGAGCTTCCCATGGCCGATCACAAAACCGAGGGTACTCTACTTCTCTCTGCGCCAAACAGCATTTCTGCGGGTTAATAGTAAGGCCAGCTGCTTTAATGCGCTTCAGGACTCCTTGGAGATGAGCCATGTGTTCTTCCCAGTTTCGGCTGTAGATAACGACATCGTCCAGATATGCCGCCGCGAACTCTGAAACATCTCTCAGCACATAGTCCATAAGCCTCTGAAAAGTGGCTGGCGCCCCCTGGAGTCCAAATGGCATAACTCGAAATTGGTACATACCAAATGGAGTTCTGAAGGCCGTCAATTCATGGACCTCAGGAGACAGCGCCACCTGCCAGTAGCCTTTGCTCAGGTCTAAAGTGGTGATGTATTTGGCTTTTCCCACTCGCTCCACCAGCTCATCAATCCTGGGCATTGGGTAAGGGTCACACAGTGAAACAGAATTCAGGTACCGAAAGTCTATGCAAAATCTCAGAGAGTCATCTTTCTTTGGTACAAGCACCACTGGACTACACCATTCACTACTGGATACCTCAATTATACCCAGTTCCAGCATCATTTCGATTTCCTTTTTCAGCACTGGCACTAGTCGCTCCGGGATTCTGTAGCTCTTCTGACGTGGCGGCGCCTCAGTCTTCAGCCGGATGTTGTGCTGTACCAGGTCTGTGTAACCAGGAGTTTCTTTGAAGAGCCCTGGGTCAATGAGTGGAGTCACCTCTTTCTGCTGAGAGATAGACAGATGTGACGTATCTAACACAGATGACTCACCCAGACTTCCAGGTGTAAACTTCTCTGGGGTTTCTTCGTCTTGCACAGACCGGATCAACAGCTGAGGGACAGATACTGGACGAGAAAAAAATTCTTTCAGCAAATTCACATGGAATTTCTGATGCTTTTTGGTTCTGTCAGGCATAAACAGTTCATATGTGAGCTCACCCACTTTCTTTGTGATTTCATATGGGCCATACCATTTAGACAGGAGCTTGCTATCGGAGGTGGGAAGGAGTAGGAGAACCTTTTGACCTGGTTTGAAGCTTCGTTCTCTGGCTTTGCGGTCGTACCACACTTTCTGGTTTTGTTGAGCAGTCTTCATATTCTCTTGTGCCAGCTCAGACATTTCCTCCAAGCGTTGCCTCATCTTAACTACATAGGCCACGACGTTCTCTCCCGAGGGGGTTGGATTCTCCCAGTAGTCTTTGAGTAGGTCAAGCGGCCCCCTCACCTCGCGTCCATAGAGTAGTTCAAATGGAGAGAACCCCGTTGAGGCCTGTGGGACTTCGCGGTAGGAAAACAACAGGTACGGCAACCACTGGTCCCAGTCTGCTCCTGTGTTAGAAACAAACTTCCGCAGCATATTTTTCAGAGTTTGGTTATACCGCTCAACTAGCCCGTCCGTCTGGGGGTGGTATGGGGTGGTCTTAATTCCCTTAATACCTAGTAGCTTATAAACCTGTCGTAATAATTTAGACATGAAGTTTGTCCCACAGTCCGTCAAAACCTCCCTTGGTATCCCCACTCTAGAGAACATTTGTAACAAACAGTTAGCAACATTTCTGGCCTTGATTGTTTTTAGTGGAAACGCTTCGGGATACCGTGTTGCATAGTCGCACAGAACTAAAATGAATCTGTGACCTGCACTGCTTCGTTCTAAAGGCCCCACTATGTCCATACCAATTCTCTCAAAAGGAGTTTCAATGATGGGTAGAGGTTGCAACATTGCTCGAGGGACTTTGCGAGAAGAGGTAAGTTGGCATATTTCACAAGAATTACAAAAGTTAGAAATTTGGTTGTACATGCCTGGCCACACAAATCTGCTCGCAATTCTGCATAAAGTTTTCTGGAAAGCCATGTGTCCAGCCCATGGCACAGAATGTCCCAGCTCCATTACTTGGGTTCTGAACTTTTGAGGCAAGGCCAAGGCTTCAACAGTTCCTTTGCATTGATACAAGATTCCACCTTTAATGACAAATGTTGCCTCCTCTAAACCTCCAAGATTACCCCGTTTAACCCCTTCAACATCCGTTACTTTTTTAAACCACTCGTTTAAAGTTACATCATCTTTTTGTAAAGTAGCAACATCAGGAGGAAGCTGAAACTCAACTGGTTGCATAAGTTCGGTTTGATTTTCTGTCTGTTTGTATACTGTGCCTTTCAACTTTTCCCTTCTTTTCTGTGCTTTTGATTTGACTGGTTTCCCTATTCCTGGTTCGAGATCTTCACCCCAAAAGGGCAACTCTTGTAAAGACTCTTGAGCAGCCTTTGCTCTGGTAATAACCATGTTATAAGCAACAGGCGCCTCTACTTTTCCAGGCCAGTTTACAGGTGAGTTTTCTGACTCATGCACTAAATCTATCAATATTGGCAAATCATGACCGAGAATCACATCAAATGGTAAATTTGGGGCTAATGCCACAGGAATTAGAAATGTTTGACCTCCAACCGTTAAATACACATCTGCCATAGGATACTGGTGTTCATCCCCATGAACACAGCTAATATTGGTTTTGTCCTCCCTCCATTTTTCCCTTGACACCAAACTGGACACCACTATCGTTTGGAACCCCCCCGTATCCAGCAGTGCTGTAGTATGGTGACCATTAATCAGTACAGGGGCAGTTAAAGCTTTCTGAGTATTAGCCATATGACTGTACACGACAGGTCTAGGCACTGCACAGTAAAGAGAAGACTTATTTGCTAATTGACATGAATATTGGGTATGGCCTAAGCCATTACATAGGTAACATCTAACCTCTTTATAGCGTTTTTGCGAGTGGTTAGCAAAATTTGACTTTTGATAATCATTTTCTCTAAACTGCCTATTTTGACCAAACCCCATTTCACCCCCGTAGGACTTACTTTGGGCTTGATCTCTGAATCCATGTTCTCGGTCCTGGCCTCTTTGAAGTCTTGGAGCATTGCGTCCATAGGTGGCGTTGTTGGATCCTTTCCTTGCAGCCAAGAAGACCTCTGCCATCTCTGCCGCTTTCTCCGCTGTCTTCGGGTCACGTTCACGGATCCACACTTGAAGCTCTGGGCTCACCATTCTTAAAAACTGTTCCAAGATCAAAGTCTCTGACATCTCTTGTTTTGTAGATTTTTCAGGTTTCACCCATTTGGAAAACACGTCCTTCAGTCGCACATACAGTTCTCTCGGAGTCTCATCAGGGAATATTTCAGTGGAACGAAATCTTTGTCGATAAGTTTCAGTTGTAATCTCATATTTTGCCAAAATTGCTGCTTTCACTTTGTCATAATCTTCTGAATCTGTCATGTCCATAAGCACATATGCACTGCGGGCTTTACCAGTCAATAATGTCACTAGGCGGAGAGCCCACTCATCTCTTGGCCATCTGCAGACCTGTGCCATTCTTTCAAAAGTTGTCAGAAAATGTTCAATATCATCGTCTGGTGCTAAGGGTAGCAATTTTGGCTCTCTGTGAATGACTTGCTCTCTGTAATATCGGTGGTCAGCATAACTTGCACCTTCTTCATTCTCAGATTCATTTATGGCAGGATCCAAGTCAGGGTCATAATCAGCTCTTCTTTGGACGGCTTGATTTACCAAAGACTGCACTTCTTGAATTTGGTGTTGCATGCTCTTCCATCTCAATTCATGTTTTGCAGCTTCCTTTTCCAAAGTCTTCTCTCTGGCTGCCTGGGTTTTTGCTAAAGACTTCACCAGTCCCGCCAGTTCTTCAAACCTTTCTCCAGAGCTGCTAATTGCATCCACCCCCGGCTCCACAGGTGCTGACGATCCCTCATCAGGATCAGCTCGTTGCTCAGTCTGCACTTTCTTCATCCTTGTCGCCATCTCCTGTTACTTTGTTGGATCGCGGGCCCAGCTTCTGACACCAATTGTGACACTTGTCATGTCAGGACGGCACTTATGAGGATGTTAGGAGGAACAAAGTTACGCAGAGG